GGACAACCATCTCTGCAGCACTCCACCAATCAGGTCTTTATGGTAGAGTGGCCAGACGGAAGCCACTCCTCAGTAAAAGGCACATGACAGCCCGCTTGGAGTTTGCCAAAAGGCACCTAAAGACTGTCAGACCATGAGAAACAAGATTCTCTGGTATTATGAAACCAAGATAGTACTCTTTGGCCTGAATGCCAAGCGTCACGTCTGGAGGAAACCTGGCACCGTCCCTACGGTGAAGCATGGTGGTGGCAGCATCATGCTGTGGGGATGTTTTTCAGCAGCAGCGACTGGGAGACTAGTCAGGATTGAGGCAAAGATGAACTGAGCAAAGTAAAGAGAGATCCTTGATGAAAACTTGTTCCAGAGCGCTCAGGACCTCCGATTGGGGCGAAGGTTCACCTTCCAACAGGACAACGACCCTAAGCACACAGCCAAGACAACACATCCTTGAGTGGCCCGGTCTTGAATTTGATCGAACATCTCTGGAGAGACCTGAAAATAGCTGTGTAGCGACGCTCCCCATCCAAGCTGACAGAGCTTGAGAGGATCTGCAGAGAAGAATGGGAGAAACTCCCCAAATACAGGTTTGCCAAGCTTGTTGCGTCATACCCAAGAAGACTTGAGGCTGTAATCGCTGCCAAAGGTGCTTCAACAAAGTACTGAGTAAAGGGTCTGAATACTTACGTAAATTTAATTTGGAAACATTTCTACAAACCAGTTTTTGCTTTTTCATTATGGGTTATTGTGTGTAGATTGATGAGGAAAAAAAACTTTAATCAATTTTAGAATAAGGCTGTAACATAACAAAATGTGGAAAAAGTAAAGGGGTCTTAATACTTTCCGAATGCACTGTATCACTTGTTGGCCTATCCCTCTGTACTGGTAGCTCTACTGCTCACACCACTCCTTTCAGGATCCCTCCCCCTTGACACATCTTCCTCTACTTTATTCACTACCTCAGCATACTACAACTTCTGCACAACTCTAACCCTGGAAAACTCAATCTGCCTCTCTCGCACTGGACATTTCTGATCACCAGCCCCATGGGCACCCCTACAATTAACACATACCACTACTTTCCCCAATGCTACACATTCCTTTGTCTCATGCCCTTCTGCACACTTCTTACACCTAGGAACCTCCCTCCTACACACTGCTGCTACATGCCCATAAGCTTGACATCTGTAAAAACGTAATGAATTTGGCACAAACTCTCGTACGGGATAACTTATATCCTAACATCACTTTGTCGGGCAAAGACTCAACATTAAAACTCAAAAGAACAGACAACGACTCTTGTTTCAGCACTCACGCCACTCTGTCTGCGTCGCACCAAACGACGAGCATCACAAACACCGGGAATCTTCCCCTTCAGTTGGTCAACTTTTACAGCTACCCCAGTAATCACTCCTTTTCTTGAGAGCTAAACAATTCACATCTCTTGTCCCCGTTCGTTTAACGCGGAGCACCTGCTCCCTCTGACCAGCAGAAACACAACAAATTATCACCACAACACTTCTGGTTACCTTCACCAATTCCACAGCACCCAACTCTGTTTTCACCCACCCTGAAACTTCACATGTGGCACAGCCAAAAGGCAACGGTCCACTTTTTCCAAAAATGGCACTCCTACCATCATAGACTCATCTTTATCCTGACCCTCTGTGCAAGCCTCGGATTCCGAGAACTTCACCACACCTACCCCCTCCAATACTTCACCCTCACTCACTTCCATCCCATTTCTCCTCCTGTCTTCGATCCGGCGTACAACTCACTCTGCTTACACTTTCTACCATTCTGCTTTAACAAACCATCTCCCTTTTTTCAGCCATTTTTAACCGATTCAAGCTCACCCTCTTCCTCCCGCTCTCTCTTTGACCTCCTCTGCCTCTCTTTCCCCCTCCATTCCTCCTCTGTATTCCAAGTATATGTCTCCTTCTGATAATACTGCACATCTCCTGACATACATCTAGTTATTGCCCTCTCAAGGGATGCCATTTTCCTTATCTCAATTAATTAATTAAAAAACGGTGTGCTCAGCTCCTACTGTCTTTGCTAAGGCTAAGGTCTGCCAGACTTTGTGGTTCACTATGAGCGGACAATACACAGGAAGTCGAAACTTCCCGATTCTACCAATGAAATGAAAATGTGCTAGTTCTAGCTTGTGGTTTGGATAATTGTGATGTCTATGATAAAAATGTAATGTTGTTAATGTAATAATAACTATATGCTGTGGCAGAGCCAGGGTCAAATTCCCCTTTAAAATAATGTGTCCCCATTATTTAAAAAATATAATTGTAGGCCTATCGCTACAGTAGATCAGTTGTGGGGTTTTGCCCTTTCTTTATGCACTTTTCTACAAGCTTGCATGACTTCAGTTGTTAGTACGTGTCATTGATGGGAGTCGCTGGAGAACGAATGACTGTCCCTCTTGCCTGGCACCGGTGACAAACAGGAACTTATGCAAGCAGGCGGTAATAGTCGAAGCGCTGAAGTGAGCGGAGCAGCCATATTGCCGCGCTGCGAGTTCAGCAGAGGGGAGTATACGCGGCTGTAGCCCTGCCATAGAACCATCTCAAATCACACTTTCTCTGGTAAGACATTCTACAAAGTAACAATGTATAGCGTAGTCTATACATCGAATATTTATGTGAACGTGAGACTGTTGAGCAGAATAGGGATGCTCACTACTTTGTTTCCGCACTTGTTGCAGTACTTCTGCTGCCTCTTCCCTCAAAGGGGAACAACATCTCACAACAGGTGTCTGGGATTATTGTAGTCGGATGTGGTTTGGTAGAAGGCTAGCAGTTGAAGGTTATGTAGATTGCATGTGTATACATGTATCCATGATGTAACGACTACATTTTAGTCGTATTTTTCCTCCAAAATCCAAAATTATAGCCTATTCGATTCGGGTCAAATAATTATATTTTGCATAATAATATCATGACATTTGACAAAAAAGAAGGGGCTATGTCAAATTCACTGATTAGCCGAGTATGCTAGCTGTTTTAGGTTGGCTGTAGATTTGGGTTTGGTAGGTGGACTCAACATGTTTTCTTTGAACAGAACAAGCAAGAAATTGCCTACCATACGCGTGGAACATTGTATCTGTTTTAACACACAGTCGTGTAGCCTAATCTAGTCGGTTTTGCGACTTTTGAAATGGCCCAAACAGTGTTGGCTATTATTAAATACCCTAATATGTGTATCTTCTTCAGAAGTGAATCAAGCTCGTGGCTATCTTGTGATTCCAACTGATCAAGTTGTTACATTTGTAACAGACCCTAATCGCAACAAGTAGTTTTGACACAATGTAACAGTGTCTGTCCCTGGCGGATAGGCTACTTTATATCCGCTTTACACCCAGTAGTAGCCAAGTTTAATTAATTAATTCTTAAGGAAAATGTCTCTCAAGTACACCGTGCAGCATATAGGCTACATCGAACGTCCCCCTCATCATTTTATCCGAGCAAGGTTCACACCTTGATACAGTTGTGGTGCTGAAGTAAGGTTCACACCTTGATACAGTATTGGTGCTCAAGTAAGATAATACCGAGAAGGGTAGAGACTGTGACTCTTATGGGTGAGGCTCGTTTAATCTAAACTTACATATTTATTCATAATAATGATTGACACGGATATACAAGGCCTGCGTCAACCAATCTCAATTTCGCAGCAGCGTTTAAAAAAGGAAGGGTAGTCCCATTTGACTCAGTATCACCGGGGTGGCTGAAACTCGTTTCTCTTTCGCTCCCTCTGACAGGAAGGCACTGTGGAGACGTCATCTAGGAGGCTATCCGAAGTATTTGGAAACCCACTTTACACCTCTGCGCACAGACCCAGGAAAAGGAAACAAAATGCCTAAAGCTGTAAGTATTGCTGTAGTTTTATTTGTTTAAAAGCTTTTCGTGTATTCAGACTATTTCTGAGTTGCCTGAAACTAATGCTTGGTAACTATGATACGTTGCCAGTCATGAGTCGAGATGGGAGTAGCCCAGGCAAGCGAGAGATTTATTGCCACGATGTCTGCTCGTGATGAGAGGAGGTATTCATGGGAGTCTAGAGATAGGGGCTGTATAGGCTATTTGTGCTGTAATGACTACCTTACACTACACTAAATATGTATAATGTTTCTATGGTTTAATTTGTGGTGTCACTTGTAGATGAAAATGAAAACGTTGTCCTCACTTATAGAAATACTTTCTCCTGAACTGAGAATATTGAATATGAGAATAAGAATTTGGTGGCCTCTTGTAAGTGATCACACTGTCTGAATATGTGGTTTCTCACATGAAGTTGAGTCATTTTCACTAAAGTCTTACTCTCACAACCTCTTTATTTGACCTAATGTAATATCTTAGCAGTGACCTACCTGGGTACACAACTGCCCCCAGCTTTTTGTTGAAAATGTGTCTTTGAAAGCACTTCCCACAAGTGTTGCAAAACAATGGACTTTCATTACTTTAACCAAAGAGGAAGTAAAGGATTGTCTGACCAAAATGACCAGATAAGTTTATTTGATTAAATGGAATATCACACCAGCCTCTAAAATAATGTGCTGTGCTTCAACTGAGACATTTCTATTTTGCTTTGCCCGGGGTGCAAATAGCCCTAATCGCGTGTGATCTAGAGAGAAGTTGATAGTTGAACAGTACGCTGTATTGTATTCACAGTTAGTCCCCCATCCAAGACACCCCCCAGTCGAAGACTCTAGGAGTCATAAAGAGTGTTGTTGGTTGGTTTAGAAATTGCCCTAGGGTTGTTAAGAAATTCACACTAAACTGGGAAGTAGTGACATCATCAGTGTGGTGCTGGCTGTATGACAGAGTAGCACTCTCTGTCACTCCGCTGTTAACACTTGAAAACCTTGCCTTTTTGGAATATAATGGCAGATAGTTTTATTTTCCATGATCTCAATGAGGCATAATCATTGATCTACTGCCACTGACTCACTTCTCTCTACATGACTAACTGAAACTTAAGAGTTTAAGGAAGGCATGAAATATTACTACGGCCAAGTTATTACTAAGTTAAGTATTTTAATGAACTTGGTCTTTAATTTTTTTGTTTTGAAGTCAATAGTTTTGCAACTCTCAAATTAATCCTAAAAATGCTGAGTTTTTTATTTATAGCATTGTTTGGTCAAACTAGGTGTTTATGTTTTGGATGTGGCTGCTGCACTCACTGACTGGAAGGGCTTTCTAGAAAACTGACATGATCAGCTCTTATTGAGATTTTGTATCACGCTTTGTGATGCAAAATCCTTTTTACTGTGAAAGATACGTGTTAAACATGGTGGAATTTCTCTATTATATAGAGACAGCAGAGTAGGCTAGAGTTCATTTGGTTAAGAATATAAATAAATCTGACAAGAGAAAGATGAGATTTGAGCAGCTGAGATTGAGATCCTGGTTTGGTCTCTTCTCTGGCTCGAGTTACACTTGTTAGAATAACACATTGTCACCAAGTGTGTGACGGTGTTCACTCCTTGGCTTTCCCTAAATCCTCTTTCTGTGTGGTCGCGGCCCCTTGAACATCCATGTGACAGTCAGACCACACACACAGTCACACAAGGCGTGGCCTTAATCAACACTTACTGTATGGGTGTTCCCTCCTCGTGTCCGAAACCCATTGCTAATAATTTGTTCTCTTCAATAATTGATAATTCAATGATAGAATGATGCCTGCTGTTACGCACTCTGGGTATGTCACTCTGAATAGTCGTCATGTTAGCACTTACCACATCGTTATATATTTAGACATCATTATGTAGTAATTAGTTCCTAATAGAAGTCAATACACTGTGTTTAGTCAACAAGTTGGCCAAGCTGAGGTACTGGGCCCTGGTCTGCAAAACGAATCCACTTCTTAGAGGTTTCAGTCCTAAATACCTTAATGAAAGGGGCGCAGTAGGGGTGTATACTACCCCCTCGCCAGTCTCCATGGGACCAACTGCAGGGAGGTAGTGCACTGCATGTCAGCAGGTTGCACACAGCACAGTGGTGGTTTATGGCTATATGGCTCTGTGGGGCATTTCAGCCACGTTCCCATGACAACCCCACATTGCAACAGACTCCTGTAAAGCCATGCAGACCATGCACGTGGTTAAATATTGAATGGTTTACAGCACAGGGGAATGCAGGTGATGATCACCATTGGGACCAACTCATTAACCAGTGAATGGTGTTATATAGATGATAGTAGACTACAGGAAAAGGAGGGCCAAGCACGCCCCCATTCTCATCAACGGGGCTGTAGTGGAGCAGGTTGAGAGCCTTTAGTTCTTTGATGTCCACATCACCAATGAACTGTCATGGTCCAAACACACCAAGACAGTCGTGAAGAGGGCACGACAACGCCTATTCCCCATCAGGAGACTGAAAAGATTTGGCATAGGTCCTCAGATCCTCAAAAAGTTCTACAGGTGCACCATCGAGAGCATCCTGACTGGTTGTATCATCGTCTGGTATGGCAACTGCTCAGCCTTCGACCGCAAGGCACTACAGAGGGTAGTGCGTACGGCCCAGTTCATCACTGGGGCCAAGCTTCCTTCCATCCAGGACCTCTATACCAGGCGGTGTCAGAGAAAGGCCCTAAAAATTGTCAAAGACTCTAGCCACCCTAGTCATAGACTGTTCTCTCTGCTACCGCACGGCAAGCGGTACCGTCTAGGTCCAAAAGGCTTCTTAACAACTTTTACCCCCAATCCATAAGACTCTGAACAGCTAACCACATTTTTACGCTGCTGCTACTCTCTGTTTATTATCTATGCATAGTCACTTTAACTCTACTTACATGTACATATTACCTCAATTACCTCGACTAACCTGTGCCCCCGCACATTGACTCTGTACCGGTACCCCCTGTATATAGCCTCGTTACTGTTATTTTATTGTTGCTCTTTTAATTATTATTATTATTTATTTATTGTTTACCTCTGTTTATTTAGTAAGTACTTTCTTAACACTTATTTTTTTTCTTAACTGCATTGTTGGTTAAGGGCTTGTAAATAAGCATTTAACTGTAAGGTTTACACCTGTTATATTCGGCGCATGTGACAAATAAAATGTGGCTATTTAATACCATACCTGGCCTCCACAATCCCCCGACCTCAACCCAATTGATATGGTTTGGGATGAGTCGGACCACAGAGTGAAGGAAAAGCAGCCAACAAGTGCTCAGCATATGTGGGAACTCCTTCAAGACTGTTAGAAAAGCATTCCATGTGAAGCTGGTTGAGAGAATGCCAAGAGTGCGCAAAGCTGTCATCAAGGCAAAGGGTGGCTACATTGAAGAATCTCAAATATAAAATATATTTTGATTTGTTTAACACTTTTTTGGTTACTACATGATTCCATATGTTATTTCATAGTTTTGATGTCTTCACTATTATTCTACAATGTAAAAATAAAGAAAAATCCTTGAATAAGTAGGTGTGTCCAAACTTTTGACTGGTACTGTGTGTGTGTGTGTATATATATATATATATATATATATATAATATAGCAGATTACTTTCTGGCTCCCTTACACAGCTGATCTGGAGTCAGTTTGACTGTGTGCGTTCTGGGAGCTGGGGTCCATTAGAATTCTTCGTGGTGCAGGAAAGGGACCACTGGGGAGGCCCAGATGAAAAGGGATCTTTGTTTTGCTGTGTAAATATATTTTTCTGTTGCCCACAACAATCAATATGTAGATGAGGCTTTTCCAACGCAAAAAAAGAAACAACCTTTCATGCGTTTTTCTCTTGTAGTCAATTCACGTTCACTTTGAATTGTTCTTTCTATGGAGTAATTAATTTGGCCATATCTACTGCCATAGACACGTCAGTCATTATGTGTAGGCTCAGTATGTAGCCTATGAGGCAGCTAGACATCATGGCAGTGAGTAAACAGTCCAGTCAGTCAGAGCCCAGGCCCCAGCCCAGGAGACATCCCGTTAGGCCGTTTCCAGTGGGCGTCATTGCGTTTCATCACTTCAGAGCCTCAATGTCATTCACAATGGCCAGGAGATGACAGATTACACCAAAGACTCTGCTAGCAGCAGTCTCCCTCTTACCGGAGTCCACACACATCTCCATAGGGTTGTCAGTGCACGCCAATAACCTGGGTAAATACTGTAGGCCTCATTTTCTCAACTGAAACATTTGACCTAGATGCGAAAGGTGTAGGACTAGTGTTTGTTAGTAAGCTTACAATGCTGATATTGTAATGAATATTATGTATTGTAGCAGGACTTTAATCGTGTGATGAGAACTAACCTACATGGAATTAAGTATTTATTGTGAAAGACTACAAACTTGACATCATGCCTCATTCATGGAAATCAGAGGGTGCTCTCATTGCAACATACTATATGAGGCTAATGTTTTTCATAGTTTTTTCAAAAAACTTTTAGTTGTTTGAAACATTTTATTACCACAGTGGACCTCCTTAAGCAGGCAGTCATGCCAGGTTTTTTCTGGATCAAAAAGGGGCTTAGGTGGTGGGCGTGGCAGGGGGGCATGACTGGGGGTGGCAATGGGCTCGGTCAGTGCAGCTGCATAAAACATTTTTTTGTAGAAGCCCCCATCTTGGCGGTGTAGAGAAATGTTAGCTTATTTTTTTAAATCCTGCAATTCTACACATTTCTCCATGGAGCTGAGATTAGTTTTTGTAGTTTTAAAGCAATTTCCCTGCTATTTTATGCATTTTGCCATGACTAATGCTGTTCTTTTGCTCTAACATAATAACAAAATCAATACTACCAAATTCAATGTTTTGGGAATTTTCAATTCTCCCTGACTGTCTAGCTTTTATCTTGCCGATTGTTATTTGTCAATGATTGTAATATAAAATATATATAGGTCCATTATCTTTTTTACATTTACGTCATTTAGCAGACGCTCTTATCCAGAGCGACTTAGAAATTGGTGCATTCACCTTATAGCCAGTGGAATAACCACTTTACAATATGTTTTTTTTCTTTTCTTCTTTCTTTGGGGTGGGGTAAGGGGGGGTAGAAGGATTCAGCAGGGAGGAGAAGGTGGCAAAGAGCTTCCTAGGATTAGAGGCAGATGCTTGGATTTTACATACTTTATATATGGGTTTAGTCGTTTCAGTTTACACTGAAAGCGTTTTTCCATTCAAGTAATGTGTATACTGAACAAAAATATAAACGCAACAATTTCAAAGATTTCACTGAGTTACAGTTCATAGAGGGAAATCAGTCAATTGAAATAGTCATTATGCCCTAATCTATGGATTTAACATGACTGGGCAGGGACACACCCACTGGGGAACCAGGCCCAGCCAATCCAAATGAGTTTTTCTCCACAAAAGGGGTTTATTACAGACTCCTAATGTTTAGAGAAATAAGCTTTTTGTGCATATGGAACATTTCTGGGATCTTTTATTTTAGCTCATGAAACATGGAACCAACACTTTACGTGTTGCATTTACATTTTTGTTCAGTGTCATCTATCTATCTAATTTATTTTATGACTTAGGCGTCCGTTTAAAATTCCTGCAGGCCTAAACAATAAGGACTTGCCATGTTTGTGCGGCATAGGTCAGTCTTATAAGTTATTAACCGAAGAACGGAAAGGCATGCCTTTTCTCTCAAAACGGAAGGGAATGGATGGACATTGTCAATACAGGCTAACCTGATTAGCTGGTCTGTGTTGAGGGGTTATGACACTATTGCCCTCTCCACCTATCGCTATCTCCGTTAGGGGTTCCCTTCTAAAATCAACCATGTTCCTTTACTGTAACTAACTACAGCTGCTATGGCACCCCTCAGAGCCTGTTTCCTCTCTAGGTTTCTTCCTAGGTTCCTGCCTTCTAGTGAATTTTTCCTAGCCACTGTGCCATTACATCCGCGTTGGTTACTTTTTGGGGTTTTATGCTGGGTATCTGTAACGAACTTTGTGACAACTGCTGATGTAAAAAGGGCTTTATAAAATAAATTGGATTGCATTTGACTATAGGCCTACATGTGCTCCTGAGTGGCGCAGTGGTCTAAGGCACTGCATCGCAGTGCTAACTGTGCCACTAGAGATCCTGGTTCGAATCCAGGCTCTGTCGCAGCCGGCCGCGACCGGGAGACTCATGGGCGGTGCACAATTGGCCCAGCGTCGTCCAGGGTAGAGCATGGCGTTTGCAACGCCAGGGTTGTGGGTTCGATTCCCACGGGGGGCCAGTATAAAAAAAGATGTATTCACTAACTGTAAGTCGCTCTGGATAAGAGCGTCTGCTAAATGACAAACAAACAAAAAAAAAAAGTGCAGTAGGTGTGTTTTTTCACAACCACACACAAGTTTACCACACTAGGTTAGTGTGAAATCTGAAACGAGCCCAGGAGTAAATATTGAAAGTGAAACACCTCGTGATTTTCACCCTTAATTCCCTCTGATCAGTATTTCTGTCTATTACAAGGCACATAAACAAACACATGATCTGCTGTGTTTCGTCTGTACGTATCATCCCCTTTGAAGTCCCCTGTAGCTCAGTTGGTAGAGCATGGCGCTTGCAACGCCAGGGTTGTGGGTTTGTTTCCCACGGGGTGCCAGTATGAAAAATGTATGCACTCACTAACTGTAAGTCGCTCTGGATAAGAGCGTCTGATAAATGACTAAAAAATGTTTGTTTTTTTTAAAGAAAAGAAAAAAAGTACAGTACATTTATTTTTTGTACATTACTCTACGGCTGCTCATTCATTGTTAGTTCCTAAAGCGTTTGAACACATCTCTCTTACTAAATAGTAAATACTAATGTTTTTGTGTTACTAATGTCTTTCTGTCATGTCTCTGTCTCCTCAGGTCAATGTTCGCGTCACCACCATGGACGCTGAGCTGGAGTTTGCCGTCCAGCCCAGCACCACTGGCAAACAGCTCTTTGACCAGGTCAGTGTTAACAGTACATTTATGACTGTCATATTAATACAGATGTAGGATCTTAATTTGAGCCAGTTTGCTACAGCAGGAAAATAACCTTGCAGCAACACGAAATATGAATTATAATGTGGATAATAATTAATGGACGTTTTTTTAGGGGTCGATCATTTTGTTACGTAAGGTAAAATCAAGTCTGACATTTCTTAAGTGGAAATTACATACTTCAAAAATCTTTTTATACCTCAAATACACTACACGTTTTAAATGTCCTGCATTGCAGGAAAGTTCTCCTGCAACAGGGTAATCAAATTAAGATCCTACATCTATAGCCATACATTTAGTCTTGTTATCAGTAGTAACAAAACCTGTACCAAAACCACAAGTATGTATAGCAGGGTTTTGCTTTTGCAATTCTTCTCCATGATAACACTTATTACTGGAATAATTTAGTGAGGCTTTCTAGGAGTGTGTGTGTGTGTGTGTGTGTGTGTGTGTGTGTGTGTGTGTGTTAATCAGTGGTTCTGCTCCAGTGACCCACCCTGAAGCCTACTCCCCCACCTCTACATCTTCCTACCTCCAGGCATGTCCTGTCCCCACACACACTCATGAATGTTATCTCAGGGAAGGTTGCAAGAGATTTTAACTGGAACCGTTCTTATCTGACCTTCCCTTCTCTCCTGGAGCTATGACGACCATTCCCAGGAGTGGTGCTGTGCTAAGAGCCAAAAATGTACTGAAACTGATTACTGGTAGTGTGAGAAAAGGGAGTATGATGAAAGCCTGTTTCTTTTGATCAGATGTCAATATATCTGACAATATGACAGTGAGTCATCCAAACCATTGTCCTTCCCACGGAACCCTGTCTGAGTCGGTTCCTGACATCGAAGTCAATTGACATTGTACAGCATGTTTTCTGTACAACTGTTTTGAGTACTGTCACGATCGTCGGATATAGAGGACCAAGGCGCAGCGTGGAAGGTGAACATACTTATTTATTAAATGATACACGAACAAAACAACAAATCGATACGTGACGTCCACAGGTGCAAAACACAAACCAACACGGAACAAGATCCCACAAACACTGTAGGAAAACCACCTGACTAAATATGGTTCCCAATCAGAGACAACCAGCAACAGCTGATACTCGTTGCCTCTGATTGAGAACCACTCTGGCCAACATAGATATACAAACTAAACTAGACACAACGAGCACAAAACATAAACTCTACACACCCTGGCTCAACTTAAAAGAGTCCCTAGAGCCAGGGCGTGACAGTACCCCCCCCTAAATGCGCGGACTGCGACCGCGCCTGAACATCACCGGACAGGGGAGGGCTGGGTGGGCATTCCTCCTCGGAGGCGGTTCCGGCTCCGGGCTGGCGACGCGCACCATAGGCTTGGCGCGATGGACAGGAACAGGCCGGACCGTACTGGGAACACACACCACTGGCCTTACACGGGGATCAGGAACGGGCCGGACCGGACTGGCAACACACTTCAGTACCTCTCGCCGTGCCTCTACATTTTCCTTCCCTCTATACACCAATGGCTCCCGTAACCCGGTGGCCTTCTCTCCTCGTCCACCAACTCGCCCCTTATCTGCCTCCAGTGGCCCCGTCGTCCCTGCCATGTGCCCCCCCCTAAACATTTATTGGGGGTGCCCCTCGCCTGTCCGACGACTGCCCGGTTGGCGCCGCTTCTCCTCTCCTGCCTGGGCACGTTGCTTGGTCCTGTATTGGTGGGATCTTCTGTCACGATCGTCGGATATAGAGGACCAAGGCGCAGCGTGGAAGGTGAACATACTTATTTATTAAATGATACACGAACAAAACAACAAATCGATACGTGACGTCCACAGGTGCAAAACACAAACCAACACGGAACAAGATCCCACAAACACTGTGGGAAAACCACCTGACTAAATATGGTTCCCAATCAGAGACAACCAGCAACAGCTGATACTCGTTGCCTCTGATTGAGAACCACTCTGGCCAACATAGATATACAAACTAAACTAGACACAACGAGCACAAAACATAAACTCTACACACCCTGGCTCAACTTAAGAGTCCCTAGAGCCAGGGCGTGACAAGTACAGCGTGTTTGTATGGTAAGTTCAGAGGGACAATAGGAGAATTACGTATTGTTCTCAGATTACTGAGTACAGTGCCTTCAGAAAGTATTCATACCCCTTGACTTATTCCACATTTTGTTGTTACAGCCTGAATTCAAAATGGATTCAAATTTTTTTTTTTTTACTCACCCATCTACACACAATACCCCATAATGACAAAGTCAAAACATGTTTTTAGAAAGTTTTGCAAATTTATTGAAAAATGAAATGCAGAAATATCTCATTTACATAAGTATTCACTCCCCTGAGTCAACACTTTGTAGAAGCACCTTTTGGCAACGATTACAGCTGGGAGTCTTTCTGTGTAAGTCTCTTAGCGCTTTCCACACTTGGATTGTGAAACATTTGCCCAGTATTCTTTTCAAAATTCTTTAAGCTCTGTCAAATTGGTTGTTGATCATTGCTAGACAACAATTTTCAATGTTTTGCCATATATTTCCAAGTAGGTTATTGTCCTGCTGAAAGGTGAATTCATCGCCCAGTGTCTGGTGGAAAGCAGACTAAACCAGGTTTTCCTGTAGGATTTTGCCTGTGCTTAGCTCCATTCCGTTTCTTTTTTATCCTGAAAAACTCCCCAGTCCTTAACGATTACAAGCATACCTATAACATGATGCAACCACCACTATGCTTAAAAATATGGAAAGTGGTATTCAGTAATGGGTTGTGTTGGATTTGCCCCAGACATAACACTCTGTATTCAGGACAAAAAGTTAAATGCTTTGCCAATTTTTTTGCAGTATTACTTTAGTGACCTGCAAAGAGGATGCATGTTTTGGAATATTTGTATTCTGTACAGGCTTCCTTCTTTTCACTCTGTCAATTAGGTTAGTATTGTGGACTAACTACAATGTTGTTGATCCATCCTGAGTTTTCTCCTATCACAGCCATTCAACTCTGTAATTGTTTTAAAGTCACCATTGGTCTCATGGTGAAATCCCTAAGCGGTTTCCATCCTCTCCGGCAACAGAGTTAGGAAGGAAGCCTGTATCTTTCTAGTGACTGGGTGTATTGATACACCATCCAAAGTGTATTCATTACTTCACCATGCTCAAAGGGATATTCAATGTATGCTTTTTTAAATGTATTACACATCTACCAATAGGTGCCCTTTGCAATGCATTGGAAAACCTCCCTGGACTTTGTGGTTGAATCTGTGTTTGGAATTCACTGCTAGACTGAGGGACCTTACAGATAATTGTATATGTGAGGTACAGAGATGAAGTCATTCAAAAATCATGTTAAACACTATTATGTCACTCTTGAGTGAGTCCATGCAACTCCTGAACTTATTTAGGCTTGTCATAGCAAAGGGGTTAAGTAATTGACTCGACATTTCTATTTTTAGTTTGTAAAGATTTTGAAAAACATGATTGCGCTTTGACATTATGGGGGGTATTGTGTGTAGGCCAGTGATGACAAATTTCAATTTAATCAATTTTAAAGTCAAGGGGTGTGAATACTTTCTGAAGGCACATCGACAAGAGCTTGTAGTATGTTGCTGGAACCCCTTATTGGTCCATCAGTGTACTACACTGTATGTTCTTATCTAATGGTTGAGTCCCATAGTGTCACATTCTGCAGCTACAGTGTGGAATGGATTCCAAAGGCACCGTGGGATGTAGCAAGCCTTTATTCCACCACGGAAAGGCATTGTCTTGGCTTGCCATAGCCACTTCCTGAATAACTTGTTTGTCAGTTGTGTGTGGAAACATGACTAGGGAATTTCACCTTCATGCCCTCTGCAGTGATATTAGCATTAGATTCTGATGTTGTTCAGGATTGTCGGCATTAGATTCAGACGTTCCACTTTAGTGTCACTAAGAATTCCTTCACCTACATGTTGAAAGGCCTCAGTGGGGTGTGTCGTACATTAATTATTACATTAAAAATTATATTATATAGTACATTGTCGTGCACCAGAATAATTTGTGTCGGAAACAGTTCATCGCCACTCGCAATACAGGTGCAAGTAATAGTTTTGTCTTGACAACTTTCCATCTGATAACCACCAGTAACCACAGGTGAAATTGACTGACGTTTAACTACTTCCTCTAGTTAGCAATGTGTCAGTCAGAAGCCTGTGACCCAATTGAGTTAGAAACCTGGCCTAGACGGGTGAAGTCGGTAGCAGACATCCCCTGCAGAGAAGGCCTCAGACACAGACAGTCAGACAAAAGCGCACGCACAGACAGACAGACAGTCAGATAGACAGGCAGTCAGACAGACAGACAGTCAGATAGACAGGCAGTCAGATAGACAGGCAGTTAGTTAAGTGGAAAGGCTGAGTAATACCAGTGGTGAGCTCATCCCTGGGGTGTTCCCCTGTTAAAGTGACCTGGCGTGGGACCCTCTCTGTGCCTCAGCCCTCTCATATGACCAGCGACGTGCAGCCCTAACGGGACGAATTGCTGCCGGCCCGCCACTCTTCAACTCACAACCACTTTGATTTCCCATAGAACTGCTCAAAGGCTTTTTCCTTTTAGTTGTTCTTAGGATACTTTACAAATGGCACCATATTGTGGGCCCTGGTCAAAAGTAGTGCACGGAAAACATTTTACATTTTAGTCAATTAGCAGACTCTCTTATCCAAAGCGACTTACAGGAGCACTTAGGGTTAAGTGCCTTGTTCAAGAACCTTAGATACTGCGTGTGTGTACATTCGGGACAGGCCACGTAAATAAATGAAGGGGTAGTTCAATAGGGTGGCACACTCATGCAGTAATAACACAACACCAGAAGACGAACTAGTCTTCAAACTGAGGATTTTAGTTGGTTTCTCTCTTTCCACTCTCAATGCATGTGCGGTCTGGAGAAATGGCTAAACATTAGCCATTATCCTTTGGCCACTCTCTCTTCCTGCCCCTGTCTGAGTGTGCCCCTCTCCTCCTCCTCCTGTCCCCTGACTAATCTGGAACAATTAGTTGGAACTTCACATTAGTCAGCGGATGCAGTGAGTAATGCTGTTTCGGGGGGTGCTGGCATTCCTCGCTCTCTCTCCCTCCCTCTTTCTCTCTTTCATCACAGGGCTCGGGCTTTCATAAACACTGCCGAGAGAAACTTTCACTTGGAAGACTGACTGCAGTGAGAAGGCAAGGCGTGGCGGCGTTCGTGGCCTTGTTCCACTGTTCAGACTGCACGTGATGCAGAGTACGGGATTCTTAAAAGTTATCCAGAGCTAGCTCAATCGTTTTTGTATCCTCCAGTTTTATATACATCCTTTTAATAATACTGCCCATTTAACGACGATCTGCACCCCAAAGCTAAAGAATGAGAGATTGTTTAGACGTCCTCCTGCGTGACAGAATTCTTGGATCCATTCTGGGACCCAGGTAGCCTAGGTCTTTTGTGTTAGGTGAGAACAGCTCACAGGTCATCTACAGTTTGAGTTTACTTGACTCAACTGCAAATGTTTGTCTTAGATATGTTCAATGATTGGCTGATTGAAGTGGCCTGTCAGTGAGTGGCACACCCAGTTTGTAACTCTTTGGTGCAGCCTCTACTCAAAACAAAATCCTTTTAACTCTTGGAATGTTGATTAGTTCATTCCAGTACTTACGGTGAGGATTAGCTTTAATACTGGTATCGTCTTCGATCAAAAATACTCATATTATTTGATTAAATGCTGTTTGACCCATTCCTAGAGGGACATTTTCTGGCCTCAAAGGCCTCTCGTTGTAGCAGAACCCCTGTAGTTTATCCCCCCTGGGTAAAGGAATCCTTCATTTAGAATACCTTTTCCCCCCCTTCCCCCCGCTCTGTGTGGTTCCTGGAAGCAAAAACACCATGAAAGGGCCTGTTTGTGTCCTGAAACCCTCAGGACTTTCATTCCAGGTGAGATGATGCAGTGAGAAACGCTCTCTCGTTTCAGGGCCAACCACTCAGTGTTCATTGTTGTAATTAAATACAATTTGGAAGAAAAAAAATCTGTCATTCATCTCCTGCAACCCCGTCAGGTTACCCGGACCCGTATTAGGTTGCGGCTAAGTAAGTGCGGGGGCGCTTGATTTTAATTTTAACCTTGGCCACTGTTTATTGGATAGGAATGGGCTTGGCCTGAGTGCCTGCTGTGTGTGTGTGTGTGTTGTTGACTGAAACTGCTTCACCCAAGTGGGGAATTTGGCAGCAGCACAAACAGAACAGGGCCTGGCGACTGGTGAGTTTCTCATTCTAAATGCCCGGGCTATAACCCATATAGAACTCATAGGTAAGGTTTCCCAAACACAGATTAATCCTAGCCCTGAATTCAGAATCACTCTCAATGGAAATTCTCAATTGGAAGCACTTTTTAGTCCAAGGGTAGGCTTATTTCGTGTCCAGGAAACCTACTCATAGGGTTTGGCAGAATTTTGCACCGTAGTCCGTATACAGTGGGTATCATAAGTATTCACCACCCCTTGGATTTCTTAACATTTTATTGTGTTACAGAGTGGGATTAAAATTGATTTAATTGTCATTTTTTGTAAACTATCTACACAAAACACTGTCAGTGGAAGAAAAACATATTTTTTTGTTTTGATGAATGAAAAATAAAACACTAATATATTCACCCCCCTAAGTCAATACATGTTAGAAACACCTTTGTCAGTGATTACAGCTGTGAGGCTTCTTGGGTAAATCTCCAAGAGCTGAATACTTAGACATTTCAGCTGTTCATTTTTTATTAATTTGTTAACATTTTGAAAAACATAATTCCACTTTGAGATGATGGGGTATTGTGTGTACGCCAGTGACAAATAATATCAATTTAATCCGTTTTAAATTCAGGCAGTATGCAAAATGTGGAAGAAGTCAAGGGGGTGTGAACACTTTCTGAAGGCACTGTATGACTCCTCAGAAATGAAACAATCGAGGTGTATTGTTCAGTACCATTCCTTCTGAATAGGCCTGTCAGACACTAAAAAGAGAACATACAAAGCTCATAGAAATAACTCTGAATGACGTGTCAAGAAACCGTAATAGAAAAGTTAGGATCACACACTATCTATACTGTAGATCTCATCACAACATTTGTTCCCCTTTCTTGACAGAAACCGCCCACTGCGAATTTTACAGTCAAAAGTTTGGACACACCTACTCATTCAAGGGTTTTTCTTTATTTTTGCTATTTTCTACATTGTAGAATAATAGTGAAGACATCAAAACTATGAAATAACACATATGGAATCATGTAGTAACCAAAAGAGTGTTAAACAAATCAAAATATATCTGAGGTTCTTCGAAGTAGGCACCCTTTGCCTTGATGACAGCTTTGCACACTCTTGGCAAGCTTCATGAGGCAGTCACCTGGAATGCATTTCAATTAACAGGTGGGCCTTGTTAAATGTTAATTTGTGGAATTTCTTTCCTTCTTAAGTTTGAGCCAATCAATTGTGTTGTAACAAGGTAGGGGTGGTATACAGAAGATTGCCCTATTTGGTAAAAGACGAAGTCCATATTACGGCAAGAACAGCTCAAATAAGCAAAGAGAAATGAGTCCATCATTACTTTAAGACGAAGGTCAGTCAATCTGGAACATTTCAAGAACTTTGAAAGTTTGTTCAAGTGCAGTTGCAAAAACCATCAAGTGCTATGATGAAACTGGCTCTCATGAGGACCACCACAGGAAAGGAAAACCCAGAGTTACCTCTGCTGCAGATAATAAGTTCATTAGTGTTACCAGCCTCAGAAATTGCAGCCCAAATAAATGTTTCACAGAGTTCAAGTAACAGACACATCTCAACATCAACTGTTCAGAGGAGACTGCGTGAATCAGGCCTTCATGGTTGAATTGCTGCAAAGAAACCACTACTAAAGGACACCAATAAGAAGAAGAGACCTGCTTGGGCCAAGAAAACACGAGCAATGGACATTAGACTGGTGGAAATTTGTCCTTTGGTTTTATGAGTCCAAGTTTGAGATTTTTGGTTCCAACCGCCGTGTCTTTGTGTTGATCTCCACATGTGTATTTCCCACCGTGAAGCATGGAGGAGGAGGTGTGATGGTGCTTTGCTGGTGACCCTGTCAGTGATTTATTTAGAATTCAAGGCACACTTAACCTGCATGGCTACCACAGCATTCTGCAGCGATACGCCATCCCATCTGGTTTGCGCTTAGTGGGACTATCATATGTTTTTCAATAGGACAATGACCCAAAACACACCTCCAGACCTTGTAAGGGCTATTTGACCAAGAAGGAGAGTGATGGAGTGCTGCATCAGATGACCTGGCCTCCACAATCCCCTGACCTCAACCCAATTGAGATGGTTTGGGATGAGTTGGACCGCAGAGTGAAGGGAAAGCAGCCAACAAGTGCTCAGCGAATGTGGGAACTCCTTCAAGACTGTTGGAAAAGCATTCCTCATGAAGCTGGTTGAGAAAATGCCAAGAGTGTGCAAAGCTGTCATCAAGGCAAAGGGTGGCTACTTTGACAAATCTAAAATATATTTAGATTTGTTTAACATTTGTTTGGATACTACATGATTCCATATGTGTTATTTCATAGTTGTTATGTCTTCACTATTCTAAAATGTAGAAAATATTAAAAATAAAGAAAAACCCTTGAATGAGTAGGTGTGTCCAAACTTTTGACTGGTACTGTATATGATGTTGTTGTGGTTAGCTATGCAGTGCAGATTGCATCTGCACTGACTGACTGCTTTTTCCAGTATGTCTCCTGGGGAAAAGGATCCTGGTCCCAGATCTGTTTGTGCTGTCTTACCACCAACTCTGGCACAAACCGATCTGGGACCAATAGGAGTTGGCAAGACCGTACAAACGGATCTGGGAACGTATGTCCGGGACTGGGAAAGATGTAATCCTATGAGGCCTGCCCAGATTAAGCCTGGTACCTGAGTATGCCATTAACGACCGGCGCTCCCGGCCGTGCCAACATAATGCCACTGGGCTGAAAGGCCTGTTTATACAAGATGTTATACTTTGCTGGTGATCATGCAGCACTGGTGGCACAATGTAGTTTATTAACGGTGTGAATGAATGATGGTTTGAGTGGTTTCGGTTGATTACTGTCCCGAATGTTACCTAATCTCTGAGAAAAATAATGTTGTGGTTTGGTGATAAAAGCCAGTTCTGTGCTCCAAGATGTTCTTGAATGTGTACATTACTGCTGTGTAACAGACTCCAACCTCTCCACAATGGCCAAGACCAGAGAGCTGTGTAAGGACATCAGGGATAAAATTGTAGACCTGCACAAGGCTGGGATGGGCTACAGGACAATAGGCAAGCAGCTTGGTGAGAAGGCAACAACAGTTAGCGCAATTATTAGAAAATGAAAGAAGTTCAAGATGACGGTCAATCACCCTCGGTCTGGGGCTCCATGCAAGATCTCACCTCGTGGGGGATCAATGATCATGAGGAAGGTGAGGGATCAGCCCAGAACTACACGGCAGGACCTGGTCAATGACCTGAAGAGAGCTGGGACCACAGTCTCAAAGAAATCCATTAGTAACACACTACGCCGTCATGGATTAAAATCCTGCAGCGCACGCAAGGTCCCCATGCTCAAGCCAGTGCATGTCCAGGCCCGTCTGAAGTTTGCCAATGACCATCTGGATGATCCAGAGGAGGAATGGGGGAAGGTCATGTTGTCTGATGAGAGAAAAATAGAGCTTTTTGGTCTAAACTCCACTCGCCGTGTTTGGAGGAAGAAGAAGGATGAGTACAACCCCAAGAACACCATCGCAACCGTGAAGCATGGAGGTGGAAACATCATTCTTTGGGGATGCTTTTCTGCAAAGTGGACAGGACGACTGCACCGTATTGAGGGGAGGATGGATGGGGCCATGTATCGCGAGATCTTGGCCAACAACCTCCTTCCCTCAGTAAGAGCATTGAAGATGGGTCGTGGCTGGGTCTTCCAGCATGACAACGACCCGAAACACACAGCCAGAGCAACTAAGGAGTGGCTCCGTAAGAAGCATCTCAAGGTCCTGTAGTGGCCTAGCCAGTCTCCAGACCTGAACCCAATAGAAGATCTTTGGAGGGAGCTGAAAGTCCGTATTGCCCAGCGACAGCCCCGAAACCTGAAGGATCTGGAGAAGGTCTGTATGGAGGAGTGGGCCAAAATCCCTGCTGCAGTGTGTGCAAACCTGGTCAAGACCTACAGGAAACGTATGATCTCTGTAATTGCAAACAAAGGTTTCTGTACCAAATATTAAGTTCTGCTTTTCTGATGTATCAAACACTTATGTCATGCAATAAAATGCAAATTAATTACTTAAAAATCATACAATGTGATTTTCTGGATTTTTGTTTTAGATTCCGTCTCTCACAGTTGAAGTGTACCTATGATAAAAATTACAGACCTCTACATGCTTTGTAAGTAGGAAAACCTGCAAAATCGGCAATGTATCAAATACTTGTTCTCCCCACTGTGTGTGTGTGTGTGTGTGTGTGTGTATATATATATATATATATATATATATATATATATATATATATATATATATATATATATATATATATATATATATATATATATATACACTGCTCAAAAAAATAAAGGGAACACTAAAATAACACATCCTAGATCTGTAAGAATGAAATACTCTTATTAAATATTTTTTCTTTACATAGTTGAATGTGCTGACAACAAAATCACACAAAAATTATCAATGGAAATCAAATTTATCAACCCATGGAGGTCTGGATTTGGAGTCACCCTCAAAATTAGTGGAAAACCACACTACAGGCTGATCCAACTTTGATGTAATGTCCTTAAAACAAGTCAAAATGAGGCTCAGTAGTGTGTGTGGCCTCCACGTGCCTGTATGACCTCCCTACAATGCCTGGGCATGCTCCTGATGAGGTGGCGGATGGTCTCCTGAGGGATCTCCTCCCAGACCTGGACTAAAGCATCCGCCAATTCCTGGACAGTCTGTGGTGCAACGTGGCGTTGGTGGATGGAGCGAGACATGATGTCCCAGATGTGCTCAATTTGATTCAGGTCTGGGGAACGGGTGGTCCATAGCATCAATGCCTTCCTCTTGCAGGAACTGCTGACACACTCCAGGCACATGAGGTCTAGCATTGTCTTGCATTAGGAGGAACCCAGGGACAACCGCACCAGCATATGGTCTCACAAGGGGTCCGAGGATCTCATCTCGGTACCTATTGGCAGTCAGGCTATCTCTGGCGAGCACATGGAGGGCTGTGCGGCCCCCCAAAGAAATGCCACCCCACACCATGACTGACCCACCGCCAAACCGGTCATGCTGGAGGATGTTGCAGGCAGCAGAACGTTCTCCACGGCGTCTCCAGACTCTGTCACGTCTGTCACATGTGCTCAGTGTGAACCTGCTTTCATCTGTGAAGAGCACAGGGCGCCAGTGGCGAATTTGCCAATCTTGGTGTTCTCTGGCAAATGCCAAACGTCCTGCACGGTGTTGGGCTGTAAGCACAACCCCCACCTGTGGACGTCGTGCCCTCATACCACCCTCATGGAGTCTGTTTCTGACCGTTTGAGCAGACACATGCACATTTGTGGCCTGCTGGAGGTCATTTTGCAGGGCTCTGGCAGTGCTCCCCCTTGCACAAAGGCGGAGGTAGCAGTCCTGCTGCTGGGTTGTTGCCCTCCTACAGCCTCCTCCACGTCTCCTGATGTACTGGCCTGTCTCCTGGTAGCGCCTCCATGCTCTGGACACTACACTGACAGACACAGCAAACCTTCTTGCCACAGCTCGCATTGATGTGCCATCCTGGATGAGCTGCACTACCTGAGCCACTTGTGTGGGTTGTAGACTCCGTCTCATGCTACCACTAGAGTGAAAGCACCGCCAGCATTCAAAAGTGACCAAAACATCAGCCAGGAAGCATAGGAACTGAGAAGAGGTCTGTGGTCACCACCTGCAAAACCAGTCCTTTATTGGGGGTGTCTTGCTAATTGTCTATAATTTCCACCTGTTGTCTATTCCATTTACACAACAGCGTGTGAAATGTATTGTCAATCAGTGTTGCTTCCTAAGTGGACAGTTTGATTTCACAGAAGTGTGATTGACTTGGAGTTACATTGTGTTGTTTACGTGTTCCCTTTATTTTTTTGAGCAGTGTGTGTGTGTGTGTGTGTGTGTGTGTGTGTGTGTGTGTGTGTGTGTGTGTGTATGTATATATATATATATATATATATATATATATATATATATATATATATATATATATATATATATATATATATATATATATATATATATATATATACACACACACACACACACACACACACAGTGAGGGGGAAAAAGGGCTTGACATTAACCTGTTTATCCACTTGTCCTTCAGACAAAGAGGTGAAGGAAAATGTTGTTGTTTGATGTAAGAAACCACTTTACAAAATAAATGCATCATTATTCCCATACCATTATTACAGAGAATCAGACAAATTATGCTACCCTCTGCCTATTGGCTACTTAGCTTATTCAAGCCTGTCTCAAAGTACAACACTGCCCCTTTGAGACAAAAAAAGCTATTTACCTGACTGGCTTTTCGATTATGTCTAGAAATGCACACGTTTTGTGCTCTTGTAGGAAGCAATCACTCCCCCATTGCTGATTTAAAAATGATCTATAACTGGGCTAATAACTCACTAACTAGCAAAGGATATGAACAAATGTGCACACGTCGCTACATGTAGCTCTTGCTTTGATCTCAAAACAAGCACATCTACTCATGTCCGCTCATGCTGTAAAAACAGTCAGTTCAAAGTGAATGGCACAGATCCATATACTGTATGGCAATGGTCTAATTGCATATATGCCTACTGCAGCTCTGATTGGTTATGGCGCACCGTTCTGTGTTGAGTACGGGCCTGAGTCGTGCCTGTCAATGCAATAGAATCCTACTCTGATGCGTTCTGCTTACAACAAAATCTCTTGCATAGTTTTGCATACTAAGTCTTGCATAGTTAGTTTTGTTTCGGTATGTTTCATTGAAAGTGGCTAATATTGCGTTGATTCGATCACAATTCCCACAGTAAAGGGAAACGTTGATAGTATAAACTAACGGGGAAAACTCTAGAAAGTTGAGTGAAGCTCAACCTCGTGCTTCTCTGCGCGGGCTGATATATTTCTTCTGGGAACATTGGTTATGGGTATGCTTGTAATCGTTAAGGACTGGGGAGTTTTTCAGGATAAAAAAGAAACGGAATAAAGATAAGCACAGGCAAAATCCTAGAGGAAAACCTGGTTGTCTGCTTTGGGAGATGAATTCACTTTTCAGCAGGACAATAACCTAAAACACAAGGCCAAATATACACTGGAGTTGCTTACCAAGACAACATTGAATGTTTCTGAGTGGCCTAGTTACATTTTTTACTTACATTTGCTTGAAAATCTATGGCAAGACTTGAAAATGGCTGTCAAGCAATGATCAACAACCAACTTGACAGCTCTTGAAGAATTTTGAAAATAATGTGCAAATATTGTACAATCCAGGTATGCAAAGCTCTTAGACTTACTCAAAGACTCACAGCTGTAATCGTTGCCTAAGGTGATTCTAACATGTATTGACTCAGGTATGAATACTTATGTAAATGGGAGATTTCTGTATTTCATTTTCAATAAATTTGCTAAAATTTCAAAAAACATGTTTTTACTTTGTCATTATGGGGTATTGTGTGTAAATGTGTGAAAACAATATATTTTTCAATCCATTTTGAATTCAGGCTGTGTAATAAGTCAAGGGGTACTTTCTGAAGGCACTTATTGTATTCATTCATTTAGGCCAGACTTGATATCTGCGCACGTAACTCATTTTTCACAAAAAACGTTAATTGACATCAATGCACAATTTTTAAATTCACACATTTCGAGGATTCTGCCCTTGTAGTGTATTTTCTTTTTTTGTGGCTTGTGTACAGTTTGTGTCACAGTTAGTTTTTCTGACAGAGTTGATTGTACTTTTATTTACTTTCTCTTTTCCGTCCACAGGTGGTAAAGACCATCGGCTTGAGGGAAGTCTGGTACTTTGGCCTTCAGTATATGGACGGCAAAGGATACCTCACCTGGCTGAAGCTTGACAAAAAGGTAAGGTTAATCTAATCAAGATTTAGACCATGGATTGAAAATGTTTCACTTTTCTCGACAAGTCCCATGTTTGGTGCCTGAAGTAGTACCATGAACAAATATTTGTTGATATCTGCTCAGGCATTCTCAAACCATTTCCTATTCATTCTTAAAACGCTGCAAACAAAATCAAATGGGCCATACAAAAAGAGCACATTCTTTTGAGAGGCAGGTCAAATCACTCCATACTATATTTGCCTACCACTCACTCAGTCAATGAGTAGCCACTCACTCACTGTACTATGGCCACGCTCTCTCTCGCACTCCTACTTCGTGTGCAGGCCGGTGGCTAATTGTTAATCTCCCTTTATTTAAGTCAACTTTCTTTAAAATTGTCATTTTTTATGGGATTTTAGTTATTATGGCAAAGAAAATCGATGAGCCCCATGGCGCTCTGGTCAAACGTAGTGCACTATACAGGGAATAGGGTGCCATTTGGGACACAACCGATTCCAGTCCCCTGATGTTCCCGTAATCAGCCGGTAGTGTGAACTCTCAGTGAACCACTAGATACCAAGATACTACTTCTCTGGGGGAGTGTATGCTGTGTACCCAATGCAATATGTATCAACAGTATAGTTAAAGCACATCCACCTGTATCGGTGGAATGGAGATGTGCCTGTTTTGATGTGCAGAATTTCCAAATGCGTCAATGGTTCTCACCAGAGATGTATGTAGACACGTACAGGTATGTACTGTATACAATGGCTGTGGTTATCACATCATGGAGGTCACAAAAACACACCAACTTCATCTTACTTACAGTATTTGGTTTGGGCTGATTTATATTGCGTGGCTAATAAACTGTTTGTTCTTGCAGCATTAGCATTACGGCACAATGTGAGGAGCTAGACTATTAGCATTAGTGTATACGTAGTGACATTATGGGGTAGTATAGTAACTTTACTTAGTTTACAGCGAAAGGTGTTAGGCCGGTTGTGGGTTCACCAGGACGTTTGAAGTACAGTTTTACTGAGGACACAGACAGTGAGGCACTTACAATAGAACATTATAATGTACTGACAACCCAGTGGTCCATACCTATAAATAAAGGAGTGCGATAGAGGCCAGTTGGAGTGCAGTGAGCTGTGTGCTGACTCTACACAGCTCTACTTCACAGTAGCTCTATCAGCACACATTCCCCGGCTCTATTGGGAATATTCCAGACGTTTCACACAGCCGCCCCATTTGCTTCCCATTCGCCTCATCAAGACCTTTTGGTTCCTGTTTTGGAGCGAACACGGAGGAAGAGGCCAAAGTCATTAAACAAACATCCTCTTTTACAGAGGAATATGACAGTGCATTTTTTTTTATGCAGCACTATGCATCCAAGACAATTTCACTCCTCGGGTACAATAAAGTTTATCCAATCCTATCCTACTCATGAAACTGGAAGCCCAAATAGCACCCTTTTTGCCTTTGTAGTGCACTACTTTTGATAAAAGTAGTGCACTTTATAGTAGTGTACTATATAGGGAATAGGGTGCCATTGAGGATTCAGATATACAGTTGAAGTGGGAAGTTTACATTCACCTTAGCCAAATACATTTAAACTCAGTTTTTCACAATTCCCGACATTTAATCCTAGTAGAAATTCCCTGTCTTAGGTCAGTTAGGATCACCACTTTATTTTAAGAATGTGAAATGTCAGAATAATAGTAGAGAGAATTATTTATTTCAGCTTTTATTTATTTCATCACATTCCCAGTGGGTCAGAAGTTTACATACACTCAATTAGTATTTGGTAGTGTTGCCTTAAAAAATGTTTTACTGGGGTCAAACGTTTCGGGTAGCCTTCCACAAGCTTCCCACAATAAGTTGGGTGAATTTTGGGCCATTCCTCCTGACAGAGCTAGTGTAAATGAGTCAGGTTTGTAGACCTCCTTGCTCGCACACACTTTTTCAGTTCTGCCCACACATTTTCTATAGGATTGAGGTCATGGCTTTGTGATGGCCACTCCAATACCTTGACTTTGTTGTCCTTAAGGCATTTTGCCACAACTTTGGAAGTATGCTTGGGGTCATTGTCCATTTGGAAGACCCATTTGCGACCAAGCTTTAACTTCCTGACTGATGTCTTGAGATGTTGCTTCAATATATCCACATAATTTTCCTTCCTCATGATGCCATCTATTTTGTGAAGTGCACCAGTCTCTCCTGCAGCAAAGCACCCCCACAGCATGATGCTGCCACCCCCGTGCTTCATGGTTGGCATGGTGTTCTTCGGCTTGCAAGCTTTCCCCCTTTTCCTCCAAACATAACAATGGTCATTATGGCCAAACAGTTCTATTTTTGTTTCATCAGACCAGAGGACATTTCTCCAAAAAGGACGATCTTTGTCCCCATGTGCAGTTGCAAACCGTATTCTGGCTATTTTATGGCGGTTTTGGAGCAGTGGCTTCTTCCTTGCTGAGCGGCCTTTCAAGTTATGTCGATATTGGACTTGTTTTACTGTGGATATACAGTGGGGAAAAACGGTAGATGGTAGGCTTTGTTACTTTGGTCCCAGCTCTCTGCAGGTCATTCACTAGGTCCCCCCGTGTGGTTCTGGGATTTTTGCTCACCGTTCTTGTGATCATTTTGACCCCACGGGGTGAGATCTTGCGTGGAGCCCCAGATCGAGGGAGATTATCAGTGGTCTTGTATTTCCTAATAATTGCTCCCACAGTTGATTTCTTCAAACCAAGCTGCTTACCTATTGCAGATTCAGTCTTCCCAGCCTGGTGCAGGTCTACAATTCTGTTTCTGGTGTCCTTTGACAGCTCTTTGGTCTTGGCCATAGTGGAGTTTGGAGTGTGACTGTTTGAGGTTGTGGACAGGTGTCTTTTATACTGATAACAAGTTCAAACAGGTGCCATTAATACAGGTAACGAGTGGAGGACAGAGGAGCCTCTTAAAGAAGAAGTTACAGGTCTGTGAGAGCCAGAAATCTTGCTTGTTTGTAGGTGACCAAATACTTATTTTCCACCATAATTTGCAAATAAATTCATTAAAAATCCTATAATGTGATTTTCTGGATTTTTTTTCCTCAATTTGTCTGTCATAGTTGACGTGTACCTATGATGAAAATTACAGGCCTCTCTCATCTTTTTAAGTGGGAGAACTTGCACAATTGGTGGCTGACTAAATACTTTTTTCCCCCACTGTATATACTTTTGTACCTGTTTCATCCAGCATCTTCACAAGTTCCTTTGCTGTTGTTCTGGGATTGATTTGCACTTTTCGCACCAAAGTACGTTCATCTCTAAGAGACAGAACGCATCTCCTTCCTGAGCGGTATGATGGCTGCGTGGTCCCATGGTGTTTATACTTGCGTACTATTGTTTGTACAGATGAACGTAGTACCTTCAGGCGTTTGGAAATTGCTCCCAAGGATGATCCAGACTTGTGGAGGTCTACAATGTTTTTTCTGAGGTCTTGGCTGATTTCTTTTGATTTTCCCATGATGTCAAGCAAAGAGGCACTGAGTTTGAAGGTAGGCCTTGAAATACATCCACAGGTACACCTCCAATTGACTCAAATGATGCCAATTAGCCTATCAGAAGCTTCTAAAGCCATGACATCATTTTCTGGAATTTTCCAAGCTGTTTAAAGGCACAGTCAACTTAGTGTATGTAAACTTCTGACCCACTGGAATTGTGATACAGTGAATTATAAGTGAAATAATCTGTCTGTAAACAATTGTTGGAAAAATTCCTTGTGTCATGCACAAAGTAGATGTCTTAACCGACTTGCCAAAACTATAGTTTGTTAACAAGAAATTTGTGGAGTGGTTGAAAAACGAGTTTTAATGACTCCAACCTAAGTGTATGTAAACTTCCGACTTCAACTGTATAAACTTGCTGTTTGGAACCATTAAAGGGTTTAAAAATAATGCCTTAAGCCTAACACTGGTGATGCATATCATGGATGCCATGGATTCCATTTATATCTCCCCTTACAGAAAAGCCACATGATTTCACATGTGGAAAATCACATGATTCCACTAAAATAATGTGAAAACGTGTTTTTGGAACACTTCACATGTGCTGTTTACACGTGTTGCTTTACATTAACTTGACATAGGATCAGGTGATCATATGAAAATGTGTTTTTGGAACACTTCACATGTGAAATTCATGTGTTTTATTCTGTAATGGTCATTTCAACCCTGAGGAAATATGAGGAATATGTGAACACCCTGTAACATTTCATTCCCCTTCTCCCCTCTAACCCTCATAGATAGCCTAGCTGCCCTGTTCAGGTGGAGGGGTATTATGTTTCACTGTTTTCTGTTTGTTTCTCGTTGTGATTTATATGCGTCTCGTGTGTACACAGTATATTTCACTTGTGAGCTGAGAAGTGTTTCGGCCCTGTCCCTATTCCCTATAGTGCACTTATTTTGACCAGGGCACCTGGGCTCTGATCAAAAGTAGCGCACTATATGGGGAATAGGGTGCCATTTGGGATGCCGATTCCTCTTGAAGGACATTGGGGACAATAAATGTCATCAATCAATGATCAATGAATCGTCTCTCTCCAACCCAGGTGTCGTCCCAGGACGTGAAGAAGGAGAACCCGCTGCAGTTCAAGTTCCGCGCCAAGTTCTTCCCCGAGGACGTTTCTGAGGAGCTGATCCAGGACATCACCCAGAAACAGTTTTTCCTGCAGGTAACGCACACTCATATATATATATATATATATATATATATATATATATATATATATATATATATATATATATATATATATATATATATATATATATATATACAGACATACCCACACACACACGTTTTTTTGCGTGTCTGTGCCTGTGTGTCCAGGTGAAGGAGGGCATCCTGAGCGACGAGGTCTACTGCCCCCCGGAGACGGCCGTGCTGCTGGCCTCCTACTCAGTCCAGGCCAAGTTCGGAGACTTCACCCGGGACCTCCACCGGCCCGGCTACCTCACCTCAGACCGCCTGCTGCCCCAGCGGTGAGCGCCGGTCCACTTCCAGTCTCTATGGGCCTTGGTCAAAAGTAGTGCACTGCATAGGGAATATGGTGCCATTTAGGAAATGACCTAGAGTTATTTTCCAATAGCTACACTAGCATGAAGCACACTACTTTCTTCATATGTAGCAATGTATTGAGGGCGTGCATTCTAAGTGGTATGCTAGTATGGACATTGGAACTTAGGCAGGAATACAGACTCCAAACAATAGCTTACTGTGTTGCTGTGATAGACAGGAACAGGATCACGTTTTGTGTTCACATAGATGAGAAGAAATCCATGCCATGAGAAATCCAGTATTGGTCATAACATGAGTACCCTTTATTCATTATACCTCCTCTCTGTTTGCCCACTCTTCTATTCTTCCATTGTTCTTCCCTTCCTTTCTGCCCTCCCTCCTTCTCTCCCTCTCTCTCTCTCTCACAGTGTTCTGGAGCAGCACAAGTTGTCCAGGGAGCAGTGGGAGGAGAGGATCCAGGTGTGGCATGAGGAACACCGAGGAATGCTCAAGTGAGTTCCTCTCTGTGTTGGTTTGTACGAGTCTGTATGTTGGTGTCCCTGTCATAATGAAACAGGTTCCCCTGATTCGCTCTACCTCAGATAGCAATTATTTCCCTTTTTATTTATATGACTTTATGAAGATGCTCATTAGTTGATCAGGGCTTATCTTCCTGGGTTCATTCATACACAAACATACGATACAATACGATACATGATACCATACCATAACATACAATACAACACACCACAGTACCATACACAAGGACACAATAATAAAAGAATATCAAATACCAAACCATTCCTTAATTTCTCCATGTCTGATCCTACAGGGAGGATGCCATGCTGGAATACCTGAAGATCGCCCAGGACCTGGAGATGTACGGAGTCAACTACTTTAACATCAAAAACAAGAAAGGAACCGAGCTGTGGCTGGGTGTGGACGCCCTTGGACTCAACATCTACGAGAAGGAAGACAAGTAAGAAATAGCCTTCGGAGTTGTGTTCAGTAGGTCACACTGTAGCAAAAACATTTAGCAAAGAAACATTTAAAATGAGCATTTCTTATTGGACAAGTCCAGGTAGTCCCTCCCTGTTTGTCTGTTTCAAAATGTTTTCTCCCTACAGGACACCACCCAGGTTCCCTCACTGAACTGACCACTAGTGCAGTGTTTCTCAGTCCTGGTCCTGGGGACCCAAAGGGGTGCACATTTTTGTTTTTCCCCTAGCTCTAAAACACAAATAATCAAAGGTTTGATGATGAGTTGATTACTTGAATCAAGTGTGTTAGTGCTGGGGGAAAAAACAAAATGCATCCCTTTGGGTGTCTAGGACCAGGATTGAGACTCTGCACTAGAGGGTCAAGTCATGCAAAACTGTGTTCAAATAGTGTTTAATTGCTGCTGCCTGGGGTGTCACTGCCACTATTCCATTACTTCCATTGAGCCAGGCAAGATTTCAAATACTATTTGAACCCAGGTCTAAAGTCATGTAGTCCATCTACCCATTCTGGTTCTGCTTGACAACGATACCGGGTTGTTTTCCGGCCTTCGCTACAGTTCGGTTTCAGACATTGTGGCCTTATTCCAATGGACTTCTGTCCTGGTTAACCCATGTCTTTAGTTAATCAGTACCAACGAAGATCATTCTCACCAGACAATATTACAGGAATAAGTTACTACAGCCCTCTTCCCTTCCACTGTCTCTCTCTTTTGATGAGCTTTTACTGTTCCATCATACCCAAGGTTGTTGTGTGAGTTTGCGGTCCACCAAATACTTTGCTAAAGCTCAAAATAAAGATACAGATTTGACCAGATCACTCACGCGATACAAGCGGTAACTGCGTGATTATTTGGTAAATACTTGCTCCCGGTGAGTTAAATTACTGGGTTAAAGTAGATTATGACATAATAGAAGTGTTCCTTATATAGTCGATAGTCCTGCAGTCACTGACCCTCTATCAGTACCACTGGCTGAGTGACATCAGACCAGTGTTCAAATAGTTGTTTCCTTTCAAGATGGGCTGGGTTTGCAGTTAACACTTTTGGGACTACTCCGTTGGCTCCATCGGGCCAGACAAACTCAATTAAGCACAGCTAAATTCACAGCAAAGTAGATAATTAAATACTATTTGAACCAATGTCTGGCAGACGTGCCAAAGTAGTGTTTGGAGTACAGTGCACTAACCTCTTGCTTGGTTGTGTTGTTGACAACGGTCGTTGCGCCCTTCTTAGAGCTCCATGCACTGTTTGAACTCTCCATGCCAAAAGTCTATTCAAAGCAGTGTGGTCCAAGGTCAGTTCATCCTAGTGAGAAGTGAATACGGCTCCTTGGGTGGGTAATGAGAAAATGTATCGACTCAGCCGCCACCCAGAGGACTCTGTCTGGCCACAGATGGTAGTGCTTTAATTCTAACTTGAGTGTATCTTTTGGGATTTCCCACTGTTTTACTCTCTACCCACATTATTGTGGCTTGTGTCCAAATTGTCTGGGGGTTTTATGCTTAGCTTTAAATCCACACAAAGCACATATGGATATATGTTTGAGAGAGTGTTTCTTTAAAGTCAGTGTTTATTTACAACTACAATTGTTCCATAGAATGGCTTTAAAGTGAATCTAACACTCTTATTTTTACTTGAATCTGGTGAACCAAGGAGAAAATGGGGCAAGAGAGAGACACACAAACACAGGGCTCTGTGTCTGTCTGTAAGGCTCTGAGTGTTTGTGTCCTTGAGTGTGTGTGTGTGTGTGTGTGTGCGCGCGCACGGGTGGGTGTGTGTGTGCACTCTGGGGCTCGGCAACAGAAATGCCTCTCTGCCGCAGTGCACTCTGCTGTAACCATGGCGACGCCTACTGGTTTTTCAAGCTGTGCGGGACATAAGAATGCCAGGCTGACCTAGAGTGCATTCCCCTCAACGAAGGCAGCAGGCTACATACAATACGCAGCACTACTACTGCCAAGGCCTCTGAGATACATACAGAGTGCATAGTGTAGACTCCTTAGACCCTGCTGAGACACCCACACTAGCATACCATTGCTCCTTTTTGTGTCAGATATGGCCATCATGCCAATGTTTTACGCCTTAGGCAATTTGTCAAACAAACGCACACACCCTCATTCAGTATAAGACGAATAGCTAGCTATCAGGACAGGGTTCCATTTTGACCCTATACCAGAAAGGAGGGTATATGATGTGAATGTTGTCCTAGATTGTCCCTGATTGCTGAATAAATCCATCCAAATACATGTTTACATTTCCATGAGATTCTACATAACCCAGAACACACAATGTAAATAAAATCTCTAGAACGGGCCTCTGACCCTAGCGATTTGACTGGTAAAATTATAATTTTTCTTTGAAACACACCTCTGTGGATAACAGTTATTGGGAGATGTTACCTTATACAACACCTAACCTATCAGTTAGAGATTACTCTAAATAAGAGTCATGTCCATTCCCTTGTAGATTCCTCACATGTACAGTGGCTTGCGAAAGTATTCACCCCCCTTGGCATTCTTCCTATTTTGTTGCCTTACAACCTGGAATTAAAATAGATTTTTTGGGGGGGGTTTGTATCATTTGATTTACACAACATGCCTACCACTTTGAAGATGCAAAATATGTTTTATTGTGAAACAAACAAGAAATGAGACAAAAAAACAGAACTTGAGTGTGCATAACTATTCACCCCCCCAAAGTCAATACTTTGTAGAGCAAACGTTTGCAGCAATTACAGCTGCAAGTCTCTTGGGGTATGTCTCTATAAGCTTGGCACATCTAGCCACTGGGATTTTTGCCCATTCTTCAAGGCAAAACTGTTCCAGCTCCTTCAAGTTGGATGGGTTCCGCTGGTGTACAGCGATCTTTAAGTCATACCACAGATTCTCAATTGGATTTAGGTCTGGGCTTTGACAGTATGCTTAGGGTCATTGTCCTGCTGGAAGGTGAACCTACATCCCAGTCTCAAATCTCTGGAAGACTGAAACAGGTTTCCCTCAAGAATTTCCCTGTATTTAGCGCCATCCATCATTCCTTCAATTCTGACCAGTTTCCCAGTCCCTGCCGATGAAAAACATCCAAACAGCATGAGGCTGCCACCACCATGCATCACTGTGGGGATGGTGTTCTCGGGATGATGAGAGGTGTTGGGTTGGCACCAGACATAGCATTTTCCTTGATGGCCAAAAAGCTCAATTTTTGTCTCATCTGACCAGAGTACCTTCTTCCATATGTTTGGGGAGTCTCTCACATGCCTTTTGGCGAACGGCAAATGTGTTTGCTTATTTTTTTCTTTAAGCAATGTTTTTTTTCTGGCCACTCTTCCGTAAAGCCCAGCTCTGTGGAGTGTAGGCTCCTTCAGGGTTATCTTTGGCTCTTTGTTGCCACTCTGATTAATGTCCTCCTTGCCTGGTCTGTGAGTTTTGGTGGGCGGAACCTCTCTTGCCAGGTTTGTTGTGGAGCCATATTCTTTCAATTTTTTTATAATGGATTTAATGGTGCTCCGTGGGAAGTTCAACGTTTCGGATATTTTTGTATAACCCAACCCTGATATGTACTTCTCCACAACTTTGTCCCTGACCTGTTTGGAGAGCTCCTTGGTCTTCATGGTGCCGCTTGCTTGGTGGTGCCCCTTGCTTAGTGGTGTTGCAGACTCTGTGGCTTTTCAGAACAGGTGTATACAGTGGGGAGAACAAGTATTTGATATACTGCCGATTTTGCAGGTTTTCCTACTTACAAAGTATGTAGAGGTCTGTCATTTTTATCATAGGTACACTTCAACTGTGAGAGACGGAATCTAAAACAAAAATCCTAGAAAATCACATTGTATGATTTTTAAGTAATTAATTTGCATTCTATTGCATGACATAAGTATTTGATCACCTACCAACCAGTAAGAATTCCGGCTCTCACAGACCTGTCAGTTTTTCTTTAAGAAGCCCTCCTGTTCTCCACTCATTACCTGTATTAACTGCACCTGTTTGAACTTGTTACCTGTATAAAAGACACCTGTCCACACACTCAATCAAACAGACTCCAACCTCTCCACAATGGCCAAGACCAGAGAGCTGTGTAAGGACATCAGGGATAGAATTGTAGACCTGCACAAGGCTGGGATGGGCTAAAGGACAATAGGCAAGCAGCTTGGTGAGAAGGCAACAACTGTTGGCGCAATTATTAGAAAATAGAAGAAGTTCAAGATGACGGTCAATCACCCTCGGTCTGGGGCTCCATGCAAGATCTCACCTCGTGGGGCATCAATGATCATGAGGAAGGTGAGGGATCAGCCCAGAACTACACGGCAGGACCTGGTCACTGACCTGAAGAGAGCTGGGACCACAGTCTCAAAGAAAACCATTAGTAACACACTACGCCGTGGATTAAAATCCTGCAGCGCACGCAAGGTCCCCCTGCTCAAGCCAGCGCATGTCTAGGCCCGTCTGAAGTTTGCCAATGACCATCTGGATGATCCAGAGGAGGAATGGGAGAAGGTCATGTGGTCTGATGAGACAAAAATAGAGCTTTTTGGTCTAAACTCCACTCGCCGTGTTAGGAGGAAGAAGAAGGATGAGTACAACCCCAAGAACACCATCCCAACCGTGAAGCATGGAGGTGGAAACATCATTCTTTGGGGATGCTTTTCTGCAAAGGGGACAGGACGACTGCATCGTATTGAGGGTAGGATGGATGGGGCCATGTATCGCGAGATCTTGGCCAACAACCTCCTTCCTGGAGTAAGAGCATTGAAGATGGGTCGTGGCTGGGTCTTCCAGCATGACAACGACCCGAAACACAGCCAGAGCAACTAAGGAGTGGCTCCGTAAGAAGCATCTCAAGGTCCTGGAGTGGCCTAGCCAGTCTCCAGACCTGAACCCAATAGAAAATCTTTGGAGGGAGCTGAAAGTCCGTATTGCCCAGCGACAGCCCCGAAACCTGAAGGATCTGGAGAAGGTCTGTATGGAGGAGTGGGCCAAAATCCCTGCTGCAGTGTGTGCAAACCTGGTCAAGACCTACAGGAAACGTATGATCTCTGTAATTGCAAACAAAGGTTTCTGTACCAAATATTAAGTTCAGCTTTTCTGATGTATCAAATACTTATGCCATGCAATAAAATGCAAATTAGATTCCGTCTCTCACAGTTGAAGTGTACCTATGATAAAAATTACAGACCTCTACATGCTTTGTAAGTAGGAAACCCTGCAAAATCGGCAGTGTATCAAATACTCACTGTATATACTGAGATGATGTGACAGATCATGTGACACTTAGATTGCACACAGGTGGACTTTATTTAACTAATTATTTGACTTCTGAACATAATTGATTGCACCAGATCTTTATTTAGGGGCTTCATAGCAAAGGGGGTGAATACATATGCATGCACCACTTTTCTGTAATTTATTTTTCATTTCATTTCACCAATTTGGACTATTTTGTGTATGTCCATTACATGAAATCCAAATAAAAATCCATTTAAATTACAGGTTGTAATGCAACAAAATAGGAAAAACGCCAAGGGGGATGAATACCTTTGCAAGGCACTGTATGGGATGAATACTTTTGCAAGGCACTGTATGTCAGCCAGGGTCTGTAATTGATTGAAATACCAGTTCAGGAAGCAGCAGGGTTTCGCAGTGTGACACTGTAAGGCGGATCATATTACATCCTCCGTATGGCTATATACAGCCTAATGTATGTGTCCGCGTGGCGTGTGTCCGTTTTACATTTAGCAGATGCTATTATCCTGAGCGACTTACAGTAAAATGTAAGTGCATACATTTTCATACTGGTCACCCGTGGGAATTGAACCCACAATTCTGGCATTGCAAGCGCCATTCTCTACCAAGTGAGCTACACGGGACCAAGTAAAGAACCAGCCAATGTCTCTCTCTCCAGCACACAATGGACGAGCCCCGCCTGAAATTCCTCGCACCTAGCCCTATTGATACAGAGGCCAACATGTACAATGCAGTAGTACGCACAGTCCTGCCTCAGACATTTACATGGAATGAATCATATCCTATTTCAGATTTGTTGCACTTGTTTCCTACAACTGATCCCATGCTGTGTCCCAAATGGCACCCTTTTCCCTATATATTGCATAGCCTATAAGGAATTATATAAGGAATAAGGTGCCATTTGAGACAGTGTTTCCACTAACATTGAAATAATTTGGCTTTGGTTGGTTTCAATGAAAAGATTTGGCTACCAACACCCTGGATTTTGATTTGGGAAATAATCTGGAATAAATCTATGGAATATTAACACTGTAATGTCCACTATTAAGCCATGTAAGAACATGTACAATACTAACACTGGTTTGCCTCATTTCTCCCATCAGACTGACCCCAAAGATCGGCTTCCCCTGGAGCGAGATCAGAAACATTTCCTTCAACGACAAGAAGTTCATCATCAAGCCCATCGACAAGAAGGCCCCGGTGAGTTACGCCTAAACACCATAGATTCACACAAATAGGGCCAAGCCAGGCTAAGCCCAACTGTACCGGGCTGGCCTGGTTACGCATTCACCATAATTGCTGGAACTCTGCTGGAAAGGACAATGTGAACAGAAAATATCCAAGCCAACACATTACAGTTTGGGTCAGCCCTACAGTGTGAATCAAGCATCAGACACAGGTCGCCATGACGCAGAACCACAATAACACTGTTTTGATGATCGATACTATTCACCACATCACACACTGTCTTCACACACCACATTTAACATCACAATGAAAACAATCTGAAAGCATTAGGAAACGGCTGCAGCAGATGTCACGATGGACCAATATAAAACAGATCTGTTTGTGCTGTAAAGCCAACTTCTATGGTCAGTGTTATGCAAAACAAACAACCATAGGAGCTGGCTATACAGCACAAACCGATCTGGGACCAGGCTAAAACACAATGTAGTGTAAAGTAAGAGATACAGGAAGATGTTTTACTTTGTATTTACTGTAGGTACAGTTTGTGTTGGCTACCTCACCTCCCATATTCCCAGCTCTGCCTGCTTGCGTCCTCTCTCCTCTCCTGCTCCGTCTCCTTGGGGCTATCCTCAGTCCCAACTCCCATTGTCAACAGAACCCTGGCTCCAGCCCCTGCTTGCACAGATAGGGAGACACACAGACACACTTACACACACAAGTTGGTTAGGACGCACGTGTGCACACACCCTGAGTGCTCTTCTAATGTCCATCAAGCCTCTACGCTCAACAGACCTCATCTCTTCTGCTCAAGCCACTATTTGTGTGTGTGTGTGTGTGTGTGTGTGTGTGTGTGTGTGTGTGTGTGTGTGTGTGTGTGTGTGTGTGTGTGTGTGTGTGTGTGTGTGTGTGTGTGTGTGCATGCGTGTGTATGTGGTCAGCCTAACTGGTCAGTAAGCGCAGATGGGCAGTGTCTCATTCATCTGAAAGGTTAAGTCATTCCTACTGCTTCTTTCAGCTGCCATTTCCACTTTCCATCCAAAGCAAATGGTCGCTGTGCGCGTTGCCATGCAGCGTGCAAGTCTCTACACCTGCCTACAGTAAACCATTTGTCATTTCAACATTAGGGAAGCACAGAAGACTGTCTGCAAAACTGTTTTGTCTGACCTGAGTTTTGTTCTTTTCTCCACCCTCCTCCACCTCTTTTTCCCCCACATCTCTCTATTTCGCACCTCTGTCTCGCTCTCTCCCCCACAACTCTCGCCGCCACCCTCTTTTCATTTCTACCCCCCCCCCCCCCCACCCCCCTCTCTCACCCACTATCAATCTCTCATCCTCTCTCGCTCTCACACTCTTCTTCTCTCAGGACTTTGTGTTCTATGCCCCTCGCCTGCGCATCAACAAGCGCATCCTGCAGCTCTGCATGGGCAACCACGAGCTGTACATGCGCCGCCGCAAGCCTGACACCATCGAGGTGCAGCAGATGAAGGCCCAGGCCCGCGAGGAGAAGAACCAGAAACAGTTGGAGAAGTGTGTGTGTGTGTGTGTGTGTGTGTGTGTGAGTTTAGAATAGGGATGGTCAACACTCCTCCTGGAGAACAACTGGATGTACTTGCTTTTGCTCCATCCCTACCCAAACACCTAATCAGATTCAGAATATCACTCACAAAAAGAGATTGTATCCCACTTCACATTATAATAGTTGTCTGTAGTAGCAAATATATGGCGTTATTCATATCCTAGCATGAATCTCTTGCTCCAAAGCTTATTAGCATGCTCTTCATTACAGCAAGACATGCTCAGCACCTTTGTAGGCCTCACAGGTACTTGAAGTACCACAGCGCTAGGTCACTAGCATAAGTAGATTAAGCCCAGCGTAGCGCTGATGATTCAATAGCATGACCTCATTCTGTGAGTGAAGCGACGTTAAGACAAGGTTGTGGGAGCTGGCTAGTGTTATCTGGACAGTATCGCCTCTGCACAGCTGTTCAAACAACATGATGTAACAGTCATTCATGACGCTGTACATGGCCGAGGTCTGTCACATACAAATCGCCTGTAGGACTTTCCCCACACTGCCAAGCCCACACAATAAAAGGGAAAGGAAGTTGGTGGGGATGATCTATTGGAGAATGTTCATTGTGTTTTTGGACTAGACTGTTATGCATTACAATGAAATGTAATGTACATGTGTACACTAGAGGTATACAGGCTGCATTGTATAATGAAAGTAAACCAGCTTATTTAAAATCACAGTACAAACTACAAAGGCTATGTGTAGAATGACAGTTTATGCCTGCTACATTGTGCCCCCCGAATGTGTTTGCTTGCTTTTGTGTGTATGGGTGGGTGTGCATGCGCATGTGTGTGTGGCTGTGTGTACAACGTATACAAAGTGTGTGTCTCTACTCAATGTGCGTAAAATCAGTGTGTGCCCTCACACACTGCGAGAAGGGCCAGTTGAATAGTTTATTAGCCAGCACACGTCAGCCCCTCTTTGTGGCTCACACCGGCCCTCTCTTATCTGCAGGACCCAGCTGGAGAACGAGAAGAAGAAGAGGGAGGCCATCGAGAAAGAGAAGGAGCAGATGGAGCGAGAGAAGCAGGAGCTGATGATGAGGCTCTACCAGTTTGAGGAGAAGACCAAGAAGGCAGAGAAAGGTAGGACCGAGGGAGAACAGGGTCTGACTGGGGAGGACACTAGGGTCACCCAGAGCACATTTATCACCTAAATGGGATTGTTTGCTATTTTATACTTATCCATCTTAAAAAACTGCATTGTTGGTTAAGGGCTTGTAAGTGAGCATTTCACTGGAAGGTCTACACCTGTTGTATTCGGCGCATGTGGCAAATCAAATTTGATTTGAGGTGGATGTGTGTGTGCGTCCATGTGTGTGAGAAAGAGAGAGATGTGGGGGGGGCAGAGAGAGAGAGTGTGTGTGTACCTGTGGAATTTTTGTGTGTGTTGGTGTGCGTTCATACTTTATACGTGCGTGCATCATTTTTATGCCGCATATAAAAGAGAGCTTAAAACAGTAACGATATTTGAGAAAATGGTTCTCAGTTGATGACAATTTGCATTTCAATAGTTTTACTACTCTGGTTGTTTCAATTCAGAGGTAATAAACAGGTGGCATTGTGCTATGTGTGACTTTGTCACTGTGGACCTTAGATAGCCCGGCGGTACCGTTTTTACAGGGTTAGATATCAGCAATCGGGCTGATAAGGCATTCCTCATCGACCTTTGTTTGTAACCCTCTATTCAGGGTTCATCGCCATTCAGTCTTTACCATATAGTGCGGTCTGTCGGATTTACGTGGCGCACAGGATTAGTATTTGCATGAATATAGCTGTGGAAAGGGTTTACGGATACACCATGGAAGTAGAGCAGCCATGTAACTACAGTAAGTGCCTGATGGTTTGATAGTGGTGTGTTTTGCAATTGTAAGTTTGTAAAATTTTGTACTTCGTTTTTGAAGGCCCGCTGCAGAGGTCGGTCCTTTGTCCTTCTTTTTTACATTTTTTTTTTTTTTACAGCAGTTTGCAGTACTGGACATGTAGTGTAATTTGGAGGTTTATGCAGGGCAGAATTTTCACTTGGTTATTGGTCTATCACCCTCAAATTCAAATCTGGACCACTGCTTTTTTTCCATTCTTCCCCTCTAATCAGGAACTGAGTTAGACCGGGCATACCAGGTGGGTGCAATTAATGATTAGGTAGAACAGACAACCAGTAGTACTTTGGACCTCCTAGGATAATATTTGAGTACCCCTGGTCTATCAGTTAGTAATGCAGGGAGCTGTGACAGTTTTTTCATTTTACATTTTAGTCATTTAGCAGACGCTCTTATCCAGAGCGACTTACAGTTAGTGAGTGCATACATTTTTCATACTGGCCCCCCGTGGGAAACGAACCCACAACCCTGGCGTTGCAAGCGCCATGCTCTACCAACTGAGCTACATTACACAGTTCTCTCTGTGTAATGCTAGAGAGTTGTTAGGAAACTCATGTTTGCTACATGTGGTTGTAGTGTTCATCTTGTTCTGTATGTGTTTCTCAGTGTAGCTATGTGCATCTGTGTGCCTCACACTGAATGTATATTGGGTTAGAAATATCTCTGTCTCGCAGAGGCGTATCTGTCTTTTATCTGTCTATTCCTGTCAGTGTCACTCTTATCTCTTTGAGGCTCTCTGTGTCTGACCTGCATGAGTAGCATGTGTGTTTGGGTGTCTTCCAGGTCGTCTTTATTGCCCTAGTCAGCATAACACGTTGCACAGAATATAAAATCTCACAATACACGTGCGCGTCATTGTTTGTGTGTCTCACCTCTGTCTCTCGGTCTCTCCTCTCCAGACCTCCAGGAGCAGATGCAACGTGCCACGCAGCTGGAGGTGGAGAGGAGGATGGCGGAGGACGAGGCGGCCCGCCTGGAGGCTGAGCGTCAGGCCGCCCTGCTGGCCAAGGAGGAGCTGGCCCGCCACGCCCAGGACCAGATGCACAACCAGGAGCAGCTGGTGAGAACCACCACACAACCATGTTACAACCCCCCAATAACCTTGCTAAGCTGTCCTTTAGCACTACCATGTCACAGCCAATTGAAACGCCACTATAACCCTACTACACTGTACTACACTGTACTATACTGTACATGCTGAAATGGACCTATACTGTACATGCTGAAATAGACTTATGTATCTATATGTGACCGACCAGAGTTCGAACTCAGGTCTTCTCCTGCACGCCACAAGACAGTTAGCCCACTGAGCTAAAGCCTAGGCACCACCTCTTTAGCATATACAACTCCGAACTACACCTCACTGCAGCGAACTGTGTAGAGCTGAAATAACCGCTGTTCAGCACTAAAGAGCAAACAAAACCTGTACCAGACTGCTCCTCAAGACATCGTAATAATGTCCTTCACCACCGTAAAACTGGAGCGCATCCCATTATGCCAGACAGCGCCTACCCTGCTCTGCACCAGACCACCCTCAGGGTCACTTTAACAGGCCTGACAGGAAACCTGTAGACCAGGGTGAAGTGTGCTCTCACTAGGCTATCGACAGTGGAACACTGAGTCTGTTTTGATAGGGACAAGTTAGACGACAGCCACTCTGAACAAACCCCATAACAGAGCCCTTTGTCATGATAAACGGATAAAGACACCAGATAAATACACGATGAGTAATGATAACTTGGCTATATACACAGGGTGCCAGTACTGAGTCGATGTGCAGGGGTACGAGGTAGTTGAGGTAGATATGTACATATAGGTAGGGATAAAGTGACTAGGCAACAGGATGGACAATAAACAGGAATGTAGGCTACAATATATTTTAAATCAATCAAATGTATTTATAAAGCAGATGTCACAAAGTGCTTATACAGAAACCCAGCCTAAAACGCCAAAGAGCCCCAAAGAGCCAACAATGCAGATGTAGAAGCACAGATGTATTTGCACTAATAGGGCTTTCCACAAATATGTATTGCATCATCATGACCCCTATAGGCCCTACTAGTATGAACATTGCAACATTATCATCTGTTTTTCCTCAATCTCCTCAGCTTTAACTAGGTATACTGGAAGCTCCAGTGACTAAGCACCAGTCAATGGAGGCTGTGTTGGGCCTTTTTCAGCCAGCCACCAATTTTACAGCACACTTCACAGGTGGTGTTTTATGGTCAAACATCCACACTGTGTGTGTCGTGCTTTTGTGCTGGGCTTTGTGTGTGCGTGCAGTATTTACAACCCTAGATTTCACACACACACACACTGCGACAACAGACACAGTGTGTATTCAGAACCCTTGCTTGGTTGGCTCTGGTGAAAACCAGTCAGTCACAGACATTGTTTTGGTGCATTGCAGACAGAGGCCACCTGGAGTAGGATGGAGTTGCCCCTAGACGCTGATCGTGGGTCAGTTAGACATTTTCCCCGCTAAAGGTTAAAGGGCAATTCCACCCCTTTTCAACCTCATATTCATCATCTCCAGCACCAGACCAGTGTCTACATATGTGAAAACAGCACATTTCTATGATCTGAGGTTAAAAATATAATAAAAAAAATGCTTCTCTGTGACATCACAGGGTAGGATTAAAAGTAAAAAACAGTGATTTTCAAAACCTACAACGAGTTTCTAGCCCAAGGGAGTTCTTTTTTTCTACACACGTCATTGCGAAACTCAGTGTTTGAAAATCACTGTTTTTAAAATGTTTAAGCTTATGATGATGTCATCGGGTAGAACTTTTTAACTTTTTTTTTTCTTCTACAAAATTTAGAAATGACACTGGTATTGTGCTGGAGATAACGAAAAGTAGGTTGAAAAGTGGTGGAGTTTAACCTTTTAAGGTTAGGATTGCGGGAGTGGAAGCTGATCCTAAACTTCACCCTGGAGCGAGGCCCCCTCATCTCCTTGGAGGCTATTCAGACTCAGAGCTCTCCTCTGACCTCCCTGCTCTGTCCAACTTTCATCAAGATCCATGTAGAGAATGGAGATCCAAGATGACAGTCGCACTCTCTGATAAATGACCAGCTCTACCCCAGGTTCTGAAGTGCTGAGCCCTACACTGAGCACTGTACTCTAATGTACAGTGTTGCGGTCAAATATTTTGGCACCTTTGCACTTTACAATGGAGTGTATTGGAGCATAATGTTCTGTTTTCTCTTTTCAAAACTGGTTGAATGGCTATTGTTACCCTGTAGGCACCTGCAACTTACCACAGGTGAGAAATTACACACCTCCAACCAAATTCATTTCAATCAAGGCATTTTTTTTTTACTTTTGAAAAATCCTAATTTTAGTTTCGATTTTGTAGTTCTTGGTCCTCTGCAGTTGTAAATCAAACAAATACACGTGTGAACACCAAACAATTTTTCAATAACTTATTTTGTGCATAATGTTTCTGCCACCGTCTCTTATGACCGAAAATAGCTTCTGGACATCAGGGCAGCGATTACTCACTTCCTACTTAACAAAGATTTTTTCTTTAACTAGTCGGACGCGAAGGATTTTCTTCAGACACCCGACAAGGCCCAAAACTCCGTCATTCGCATGAGAAAGAGGCAGATATCTGGGACGTAGGTCGGGTACCTTGTAAGGATCTGACGGCGAGTAGGTAATCTGCCTCTACCATCAGTCCTATTAGCCAACGTACAATCATTGGATAACAAAATAGATGAACTACGATCACGAATATCCTACCAACGGGACATTAAAAACTGTTTCACCGACTCTTGACTGAACGACGACATGGATAACATACAGCTGGCAGGATATACGCTGCATCGGCAAGATAGAACAGCTGCCTCCGGTAAGACAAGGGGTGGCGGTCTGTGTATATTTGTAAACAACAGCTGGTGCACGAAATCTAATATTAAGGAAGTCTCAAGGTTTTGCTCGCCTGAGGTAGAGTATCTCATGATAAGCTGTAGACCACACTATTTACCAAGAGAGTTTTCATCTATATTTTTCGTAGCTGTCTATTTACCAGCACAAACCGATGCTGGCACTAAAGACCGCACTCAATGAGCTGTATAAGGCCATAAGCAAACAGGAAACGCTCAACCAGAGGTGGCACTCCTAGTGGCCGGGGACTTTAATGCAGGGAAACTTAAATCCGTTTGATCTCATTTCTACCAGCATGTTAAATGTGCAACCAGAGGAAAAAAACTCTAGACCACCTTTACTCCACACACAGAGATGCGTACAAAGCTCTCCCTCGCCCTCCATTTGGCAAATCTGACCATAACTCTTATCCTCCTGATTCCTGCTTACAAGCAAAAACTAAAGCAGGAAGCACCAGTGACTCGGTCAATAAAGAAGTGATCAGATGACACAGATGCTAAGCTACAGGACTGTTTTGCTAGCACAGACTGGAATATGTTCCGGGATTCTTCCGATGGCATTGAGGAGTACACCACATCAGTCACTGGCTTCATCAATAAGTGCATCGATGACATCGTCCCCATAGTGACCGTACGTACATACCCCAACCAGAAGCCATGGATTACAGGCAACATCCGCACTGAGCTAAAGGGTAGAGCTGCTGCTTTAAAGGAGCGGGACTCTAACCAGGACGCTGATAAGAAATCCCGCTATGCCCTCAGAGCATCAATACAGGACTAAGATTGAATCGTACTACACCGGCTCAGACGCTCGTCGGATGTGGCAGGGCTTGCAAACTATTACAGACTACAAAGGGAAGCACAGCCGCGAGCTGTCCAGTGACACGAGCAACACTGAAGCATGCATGAGAGCGTCAGCTGTTCCGGACGACTGTGTGATCACGCTCTCCGTAGCCGATGTGAGTAAGACCTTTAAACAGGTCAACATTCACAAGGCCGCAGGGCCAGACGTATTACCAGGACGTCTTCACTGACATTTTCAACCTGTCCCTGGCTGAGTCTGTAATACCAACATGTTTCAAGCAGACCAGCATAGTCCCTGTGCCCAAGAACGCTAAGGTAACCTGCCTAAATGACTACCGACCCATAGCACTCACGTTTGTAGACATGAAATGCTTTGAAAGGCTGGTCATGGCTCACGTCAACACCATTATCCCAGAAACCCTAGACCCACTCCAATTTGCATACTGCCACAACAGATCCTCAGATGATGCAATCTCTATTGCACTCCACACTGCCCTTTCCCACCTGGACAAAAGGAACACATACGTGAGAATGTTATTCATTGACTACAGCTCAGCGTTCAACACCATAGTGCCCTCAAAGCTCATCACTAAGCTAAGGAACCTGGGACTAAACACCTCCCTCTGCAACTGGATCCTGGACTTCCTGACGGGCCGCCCCCAGGTGGTAAGTGTAGGTAACAACACATCTGCCACGCTGATCCTCAACACGGGGGCCCCTCACGTGTGTGCTCAGTCCCCTCCTGTACTCCCTGTTCACCCATGACTGCATGGCCAGGCACGACTCCAACACCATCATTAAGTTTGCAGACGACACAACATTGGTAGGCCTGATCACCGACAACGATGAGAGCCTATAGGGAGGAGGTCAGAAACCTGGCCATGTGGTGCCAGGATAACAACCTCTCCCTCAATGTGATCAAGACAAAGAAGATGATTGTGGACTACAGGAAAAAGAAGAGGGCCGAGCACGCCCCCATTCTCATCGATGGGGCTGTAGTGGAGCAGGTTGAGAGCTTCATGTTCCTTGGTGTCCATCACCAACAAACTATCATTGTCCAAACACACCAAGACAGTCGTGAAGAGGGCACGACAAAGCTTATTCCCCCTTAGGAGACTGAAAAGATTTGGCATGGGTCTTCAGATCCTCAAAAAGTTATACAGCTGCACCATCGAGAGCATCCTGACTGGTTGCATCACTGCCTGGTATGGCAACTGCTCGGCCTCTGACCGCAAGGCACTACAGAGGGTAGTGCGTATGGCCCAGTACATAACTGGGGCCAAGCTTCCTGCCATCCAGGACCTCTATACCAGACGGTGTCAGAGGAAGGCCCTAACAATTGTCAGACTCCAGCACGGCAAGCGGTACCGGAGCGCCAAGTCTAGGTCCAAAAGGATTCTTAACAACTTCTACCCCCAAGCCATAAGACTCCTTAACAGCTAATCAAATGGCTACCTGGACTATTTGTCCTCAGGCCAGGAGGGAAGCCAAAGTCTACCCAATAGTGGTAAAGCAGCCTTTTACATTTAAGTCATTTAGCAGACGCTCTTATCCAGAGCGACTTACAAATTGGTGCATTTAACTTAGGATAGCCAGTGGGACAACCACATCTTGATCACAGTAAGTACACTTCTTCAAACAAGCAGCTGTGAGCAAAGTCGGCGCAATCAGGGACAACTACATGTTGATCATAATAAGTACATTTCTTTAAACAAGTCAGTGCTGGCAGGTGAAATAAGTCAGGTGTTAGTTTAGACAAAAGACAATGGTAGTAAAGGGGGGGTAGAAGGATTACTATTATACTATTCCAGGTATTCCTTAAAGAGGTAGGGTTTCAAGTGTCTCCTGAAGGTGGTCAGTGACTCCGCTGTCCTGGCGTCGTGGGGGAGCTTGTTCCACCATTGGGGTACCAGAGCAGCGAATATCTTTGACTGGGCTGAGCGGGAACTGTGCTTCCGTAGAGGTAGGGAGGCTAGCAGACCAGAGGTTCTAACAGCAGACCTATCAGCTTGCTGCCAGCTCTTAGCAAACTGTTGGAAAAAATGGTGTTTGACCAAATACAATGCTATTTCTCTGTAAACAAATGAACAACAGACTTTCAGCATGCACTCAACATGTACTTACACAAATGACTTATGATTGGTTGAAAGAATTTAATAAGAAGATGATTGTGGGAGCTGTACTGTTAGATATCAGTGCAGCCTTTGATATTATTGACCATAACCTGTTGTTGAGAACTTATGTGTTATGTTTTTTCTACCACTGACATATCGTGGATTCAGAGCTATCTATCTAATTGAACTCAGAGAGTTTTCTTTAATGGAAGCTTCTCTAATGTCAAACATGTAAAGTGTGGTGTACCACTGGCAGCTCTCTAGGCCCTCTACTCTTTTCTATTTTTACCAATGAACTGCCACTGGCATTAAACAAAGCATGTGTGTTCATGTATGCTGATGATTCAACCATATATGCATCAGCAACCACAGCTAATGAAGTCAAATGAAACCCTTAACAGAGTTGCAGTCTGTTTTGGAATAGTTGGCCAGTAATAAACTGGTCCTGAACGTCTCTAAAACTAAGAGCATTGTATGTGGTACAAATCATTCCCTAAGTTCTAGACCTCAGCTGAATCTGCTAATGAATGGTGTGGCTGTTGAACAAGTTGAGGAGACTAAATTACTTGGTGTTACCTTAGATTGTAAACTGTCGTGGTCAAAACATATAGATTAAATGGTTGTAAAGATGGGGAGAGGTCTGTCCGTAATAAGGAGACGCTCTTCTTTTTTGACACCACACTCCACAAAGCAAGTCCTGCAGGCTGTAGTTTTATCTGATCTTGAATATTGTCCAGTCATATGGTCAAGTGCTGCAAAGAAAGACCTAGTTAAGCTGCAGCTGGCCCAGAACAAAGCGGTATGTCTTGCTCTTCATTGTAATCAGAGGGCTAATATTAATACTATGCATGCCAGTCTCTTAGCTAAGAGTTGAGGAAAGACTGACTGCGTCACTTCTTGTTTTTATAAGAAACATTAATGTGTTGGAAATTCCAAATTGTTTGCATAGTCAATTTACACACAGCACTGCCACACACACTTACCCCACAAGACATGCCACCAGGGGTCTTTTCACAGTCCCCAGGTCCAGAACAAATTCAAGGAAACGTACAATATTATACAGAGCCATGAGTGCATGGAACTCCCTTCCATCTTTATATAGTGCAAGTGAACAGCAAACCTGGTTTAAAAAACGAATAAAGCAACACCTCACGGCACAACGCCTCTGCCCCATGTGAACTACTTTGTGTATGTATGTACTGACATGTATGTGTAACTGATAGATGCACACACACACACACACACACTACACATTCATGTTTTTACATGTAAATTGTAAAGTATTTTGCCTGTAATGTATTTTTTGTTATGTGTCGGACCCCAGTAAGACTAGCTGTCCAAATTGTTTGCATAGTCAATTTACACACAGCACTGCCATCAGGGGTCTTTTCACAGTCCCCAGATTCAGAACAAATTCAAGGAAACGTACAGTATTATAGAGAGCCATGAGTGCATGGAACTCCCTTCCATCTTATATAGTGCAAGTGAACAGCAAACCTGGTTAAACAACAAACAAATAAAGCAGCACCTCACGGCACAACGCCTCTCCCCCATGTGACCTACTTGTGTGTATGTACTGACATGTATGTGTAACTGATAGATGCACACACACGTATGTACATTTTAAAATATTTTGTCTGCCGTGTCAGACCCAAGTAAGACTAGATGTTGCCATTGGTGTCAGTTAATGGGGATCCTAATAAATCAAATCAAACCATGGTGGCCCACACTGGTCATTATACCTCATCACCAGATTATTAGCCCCAGCACATGTTGAGACAGACTGAACTCTGGCCTACTCACTCTACTGTACCACAGTACTCTCAGCTTCTCCTTTTTCTCTTCTGTAAGGTGACTTTTATACATTCCCCACACCCACAGTGTCCATCCATCTCTGTCCTAATGTTCACTTTTTACTAAAACCTGTAGTCCTCCTCCACACTATCCCCTACACCCCTCTCTTTCTCTCCATCCCCTCCCACAGACTTGTAGTCCTTTGTCTACTGTACCCTTACTGTCTGTGGCCTGTAGCCCTCCACCTCCTCTGTCGTCTTCCTTCTCTCGCCCAGATGTTTAAGTCCTCTCCTCTCTCCCTCCTCTCCCCTCTTCTGTTCTCTCTATCAGGCCGCAGAGCTGGCCGAGCACACGGCTAAGATCGCCCTGCTGGAGGAGGCCAAGAGACGCAAGGAGGAAGAGGCCGACACATGGCAGCACAGGGTGAGTCGCCCACACACACACGTGAACAAAACGCATGCGGGCCTATGGACGCACCCACAAGCACGCACAATTGGATGTGCATACACGCACACAGGTGCCCACACACACACAGTCAGTCACTTACTATTGATATTGAAGGTTGCATTGTAATGTGGGGCATTCTAGGGTGTTTACATTTACATCATTAAGCAGACGCTGTTCTGAGTTAATAACTGCCGTGACCACCATCCCCCTCCCTTTCCTTCCCAACCCGCAGGCCCGGGAGGCCCAGGACGACCTGCTGAAGACCAAGGAGGAGCTTCACATGGTGATGACGGCCCCTCCTCCGCCGCCCCCTCCCCCCATGTTTGTGGAGGTGCCCATGTTCGTGGACAACCACGATGTGATGACTATGGCGGAGGAGCAGAACGACCACGACAGTGAGGAGAACAACAGCACATACAGCGCCGAACTGCAGAACGAGGGCTTCAACGACCACCGCCTGGAGGAGGAGCGGCTCACTGAGGCCGAGAAGAACGAGCGCGTGCAGAAACAGCTTATGGTGAGAGAGGAGTTCGCAGAGAGCCGTGCGAGTTTGCAGGGATCGGTTGATGGGTTGAGTGATGGATTGATAACTTGATGAATTCATTCATTCATTAAATCATTGTCTTGAATTGTATATTACTAGTAACACATCAACCTATAGATATCTGCTGTCCTACACCCATACTATTGCCCAGGGTGAGCCCAGGACATTTCCCTCTCTTACTCTGACTGAGTACAACTTGCGTTAAGTTGTTGTCCTCTTGTTGACTTATGTCCATGGCTTGTTCCTCCCTTGTTTACTTCTTGTCGACTCATCGACTTATTCCTCCATGCAGGCCCTGAGCTCGGAGCTGGCCCAGGCGCGTGACGACACTAAGCATACCCAGAACGACCTGCTCCACACAGAGAACGTGCGCGCCGGCCGGGACAAGTACAAGACCCTGCGGCAGATCCGATCAGGCAACACCAAGCAGAGGATCGATGAGTTTGAGGCCTTATAAGAGGGCCCTTTCCCCTAGGTCACGAGGGCCTCACAGCCACGTACCCTTTCTGAATAGTGTCTGAACTAATCCCTCCACTGCTACACACACACACACACACACACACACACACACACACACACACACACACACACTGATTGACTGACTATACATACACACATGCACGTGGGTGCACAAACATTTGACATTTTAGTCATTTAGCAGACGCTCTTATCTAGAGTGACTTACATTAGTGAATTCATCACACCTACAGGAGCAGTATAAAGAGTGAGTGACATATCTGCATCACCACTTTTACTAGTTACCCCTTAGGGAGCTAGCTAACTTCTTTAATAAACTGTCAGGCAGTGTGGGGGGCTTTAGTGCCAAATAATTGTTTTTCTTCTTTCCTTTTAGCATAACAAATCTTCTTTCTGTTTTGATTGTATGTAATTTGATGCGATCAAACCAAATCAATCACCATTGTTTTTAACCAAAGGTGTGATGATGAGTAGTGGGACTAGACAATTATAGTACGCCATGATGTATACATGATAGACAAAGTACAGCCAATCAGAGCCTCGCTTTATGTTTCTTAAATGTGTGAATGTGGAAAAAGGGCAATATCTGTTGTTTTTCACAGGGACCACTCAGAAAGGGGAAAATACAGTATAATGAAACATTTACTCTCAGAAAAGTGTACTATGTAATGTTTTATTTAGTTTTTCCATATTTTGAACACTTCATTTATGTTTAATATTGCTCTACAGTAGCTTGCAAATCATGAATAGTTGAATATTTATATGGTATATGGGTCATTTAATCTTGGGTTGTATATTTTTGCTATTCTAATGATCATGAGAACATTTTATATGTATCAAAGGTTATATATCGACCAAAATAATGATAGTTTTGTGTTTTCATAAGGTTTTCTTTTAGGTCACTAAATTAAAGATATATATATATTTTTTTTTTTACAGCTGCATTGGACCTTTTATCTCTATCAAATCATTTCTGGGTAACAATTAAGCACTGTGATTGTCTTCAATTAATATGGTCAAAAATAGCTTCTTAACAAAGAGCAATTTCTCAAGCAACAATTTTGCTATGACTGTCTGGGAGTGATCTGAGTGGAGACCGAAAACTAGCTTTTTTCAGAGCGGTTTGGAACTCTTTCTTATTGGTCAATTAACTAATTTACTGCATGGTGATGTCACCATGGAAAGGCCAAAGCTCCATCCCACCAAAATTTCAGGCGATCTTTTCAAACTGCTTTTATACTAAAAGGGTATTATCGTCATTTTCACAGTATTATTACAACCTCAGTGTGGAAATATATATATAAAACACAGGAAAATCACGTTTTTGACTGCAATGGGCCTTTAATTAAATATTCCGCTGCATGTCATCAAATCAGGATAAGGAGATTTTTTTTGCTATACAGTTCACGGTAGCTAGCAGCATTTATGAGGCATACATGCATCTTCTCCAGGAGCACCGTGCTTATACAAAAACACTTACATTTCTCCTTTATTTTTTTCGTTTATGTCACCTTTAAGTGAGGAATGAGAGGATGACATGTTTTCAGTCAGTATGTTATGAATGCACCCAGCGGACAAAACTGCTTGAAAAATTGTCATTAAAACCAGAAACTATTTGAAATTAAGTTATGACATCTCAACCAGTTCAGCACATGGTGGTGGTTTTAACCCCACAGAGAGGCCTTTTTCTATTGGATGTTCCTCTTGAGCCTCCATAGGCTTCAGTCCCTGTCTCGCTATTGACTCTTCTTTCTCTGGATGTGTACTAGACTCGTTTTTACTGACTGTAACCGATGACGATGTGCAGTCGCTGTCCTTTATTTAAACTTGATTTTATAACGTGTTCAACATATTGGCAATAAAGATCTCCTGTGATTACAGCTTCGTACTATGTTTTCACTTTCTGCTTTCTGTCCTACTGACTTGAGGCAAATAAGTTAACTACAGGTGCAGATGCTCCTTTTTATTATATCATAAATAGAAAGGACAAGAAGAAACTAAGGGAAAGAATGAAAAAAGAACACTTGTTGTATACAGTCACCTCAGACAATGATTCTCATACATGAAATGGCATCAGGTGAGCATGCTTAAAGCACAAGGAATATTCCACTCAAAAACAATCTAACATGATTTCCCACTTACCTCAGTTGTCGTATTTCCCAAGGAAAGTAGAAAAATCATGTTTGGTTATATTTTGAATGGAACATCCTTTTAAACACAGAAATAAAAAACAATAGGTTTCATTTTGAGTGGAACATCCCTTTAATACATAAGTCATCAAATGGTACATAAATATCTAACTGGAGGGACTTTCACAAAGCAAAGGCCTGATAGTCAGTGCAAATAGAGTTAAAGGTAGAGTTAAAGTACTGAGTCTGTTCTTATGGGGCGACAGGCTTTTTTCTGTTGACATCATGTTCTCCTGCTGTTGACATTGGCTTGCATGGGTAAACTAAAGTCATGCCACATGTTGGGCATCTGCAGCACCAGTTGCCAAGACGACCCTGGGAGACACGGGGTTAACAGAGTGCCAGGTCAGTGACATCATCAGTCCTTCCTAGCTTCTTCTCACAAACAGGGAGAATCTCAATCACATACTCCTCGTGTCCTCTCTCCTCACCTTCTCAAAACCCATTGGAGAAGGTCAGAGGAGAGAGACATCTGGCTTCCTCATCCACTGGGCTTTGAGAAGAGGCGAGGAGAGAGGACACGAGGAGTATGCAATTGAGATTCTCCCATAGTTTTCTACATAGGATTCTATTTTATTTCATCTCAAGGGCTGGATTCAATCCATATCACCGAAGTTCAGCGGTATAGCGCCCTTGACATTTTAAAGGTAATTTCCGATTGAGCCGACATTTGCAGCGTTTACCGTGAATGCAGTCTCCACGAACGTGGGAACATTACCCTTTAAATGTCGATCGGGCTACAACGCGTAACGATACGGATTTAATCCAGCCCCAAGTCCCCTTGTATAGGCCTGGTCAAACTTTTCCAGTTAGGCCATTTAATTTTCATGCAAACTGATTACAATCTAATGTATAATTGTAAAGGTAAAACAGTCATTGACAGACAGGTAGCCATCTTACCAGCTTCCATTCTAACCCAGCCAAGGAGACGGTCTGAGAAGGTGAAGGGGGCATGGTCCCAGAGGTCCAGCTCCAGAGTGCAGATCTGGAGGTCGTAAGGTGTGACCCTGCTGAAGAGCAGCTGGTGAGACCACTCTGGACTGGGCTTCTTCTTCAGGACAGGGGTCCTCTGGACCAGCTCCCTGGGCCCGGGGAGAGTCAAGCACCTAAAACACACAGAATATAAAGGTAAATGTATAGATGAAAACACACACACAAACATTTTGTTCTATCTTCGTGGGGACCAAAAATGGAATTCCATTCAAAATCCTATTTAACCTAACTCTAAACCTAGTTCCTAACCCTAAACCTAACCACTTACCCTAACCTTAATTCTAACCCTAATTGCAACCCTAATCCTAAACCTAACCCGTAAGCTTAAAATAGCTTGTTTCCTCATGGTGACGTGGGAAATGTCCCAACGTCACCATGACTGTATAGTAGAACACACATAAATAGAAACAAAAATACACCAGAACACACATAACAATATCGCACCAAAGCAAACCCACACACTGGTCATATATTTACCCTTTTACATAGGTGTTCTGACTGGTGTTTGCTTTAGTGGGCAGGTTTTTGGCACCAGTGACGAGAACAGTCAGTTGACCAACGTCATGTGGTCCAATATGAACCTCTGTGTGGAGAAAGAAGAGAAAACAAGGTCATTTCAATCCAACATAAGGGATCTTCTGACCCCTAGTGCTGTAAAACCACACTATAACCTGTACAGCGTCTAGTGTGTGAGGCAATGAATTGTAGAGAGCCAGCCTACCATCTGTATGGCAAACCCAGGACGGCTGGGACAAGGAGGTGAACTTCACTCTGACCAGCAGTTCTCCTGCTGTATCCTGCTCTACTGCACTCCTTTCTGGACTCTCAGGCTATAGAGAGAGAGAGAGAGCGAGCGAGAGATGAAACATACCTGTTTTTTTCCCCCCTAACCAACACTGCTAACCATGTTTAAAGAAATGTATTTATAGAGATATCAAAGGGTATTTTGTGAACGTTGCTTAACGATCAGCAGTTATACCCTACCTTGGGACACAGGGGGTACCAGCTGGAGCCCTGGGTGGTGCTCTCCTCAAACATCCACCCCTCCAGCGGGACGAGAATCTCTCCCAGAAACACCTTCTTCTTCAGAGTCCCAGAGTGCCACACAGACACCTGCAGAGTACTCCTGGACAACAGGGGGCGCTCCATCTGGCACTGTGTATCAGGGAATACAACACATGGGTGGGTGAAACACAGGAGATTCCATAACAGTGCAGACTATTTAACTCGTTTTACTATATTTTATAGTGTTTTTCTCCTTACCTGTAAAACTTCATTATAAACGGGATCCGTTGTGTTCCTCTTGACCGTCGTCTTCAGTTTGGTGCTCTGAGACGTCTCCGGCAGTAGATAAACCTTTACATACCTGCCCATGATGGTGACATACAGTGCAGGATAAGGAGATCTAGTATGCTAATGGTTCACAGTACAACAGAGAGTAATAATCTGGTATCATAGACATACAATTACTAGAATGGGCCTCCCCATTCAAGTCAACATTCCATGATGGGTAGGCCTTCTATTTCTATCACAGGAGGTTGGTGGCACCTTAATTGGGGAGGACGGGCTCATGATAATGGGTGGAGCGGAATCAGTGGGATGGTATCAAATACATCAAACACATTGTTTTCATGTGTTTGATGCCATTCCATTCGCTCCGTTCCAGCCATTATTATGAGCCGTCCTCCTCTCACCAGCCTCCTGTGATTTCTAAGATCTAGTGTAATGAGTTATACTGCTTACGGATGACACTTCTTCCTCTTGATATCTCCGTAGGCCAAGTTTCTGCAGCCGTTGATTGTGATCTCCAGGCAGGAAGTGATGTCGTTGAAGGCGATGGCGAGCTCTAGCTCTCCCATCACACTGCTGATCTCCAAGAGATCACAGTCTGTACCAGTGCTGCTAGCACTACTACCCTGTAATACAGATCAAATGTCATATTGCAGCTTTAAAAATATGTCATGACAGCATATAGACAATGCAGGTCTATTCTGTAATTAAGCATGCAGATGTTTTGCATGCATTGCTTTCTCGCTTCTCCGCCAGCTTTGCAAGCTATGAAAAAGACATGGCAACCACATAACAAACAGTAACAAAAATCTGTATCTGGTCAAATCAATTGTGAAGTCACGGGATGTTTTGCATAAGCTGCTGTTTCATCTTCATTTCTCTCTTCATCATCAGGCCACTCAACTCACCCTCTTTCCCCCTAAGTACTCTGAGCCGAGGGAAATGTCCTCATCTGCCCCTGATGAGGAACCGCTCTGGTCATCATTCCGGCTCTTCCTGAACAGGTTGGGAAGACTGGGGCCTTTGGTTAGCTGTGAGGAGAGAAGTTGTGTCTGTTGAAAATTGCACACTTTTTATTCATATTGTAATGAATTCAGGGGTAGCGACACCAGGACTTGAACCCGGGTCCCTGGGTCTGTCAGTCCAACATCTGAGCCATTACACCAAGAGGCTTGAAGGTGTTGTTACATTTGCTGTGTTCCTAAAGTCTCTCCTGTCGGAAATAATCGTCAGTGTCATAATATTATCAATATCTCACTTGGATTTAAACATGGGGGGGAGGGGGGCTCTTTGCTTTATGTGGTCTGTCTGAAATGAGAGTGTAATACTTTTACACACAGTTGAGGGGTTGATATTTATTTGGTTTCTCTTACATTGGTGGATTTGTTGATGTTTGTGTCAGAGAGGCTTTTCTGGACAGTCCTCTGTCCCTGGCTGTTGTCCACTGTAAGCAGATCCTGTTCCACTCGCACATCCTCCTGCGATCTGGAGAACCCTGCAACCCGAAAGGTTGGATGAATAACACACACAGACCTTCTCCATACATAATATAGCACTTCTGACGTGCTGCTTGTGAACAAGCCACACTATAGATATCATACCTTATCTCGTTGCCTAGGTGCAGTTTCCTTAGCACCATGACTAAGCATAAGGATAGCTTATCAACAACTTGATAACGCTCAGATTAGATGTGTCGCTGTTTTGCCACATCCTTTGTTGGATCCTATTTTTCTCACCAAGATGAACTTCAAATTACCTAACATATTCAAAGATAATTTACTCTTGTTCTGCCAGAGACCTTTCCTTTGTCAATATTGAAATGGATCAAAAGACTCACTTACTTCTCATGTGGCTGGTGAGGGAAATCATCAGATCCTCCATAGACTTGGTGAAGGGTTTTTTCAAGTCGTGATTCAGTCCCTAGAGATCATCAAATCACTAAATCATTGATAACACATTCGACAGACCAAATCAGAATTGTGGTTTATGAAACAAAACGGAATTTGGATATCTTCATTTGACCTCACCCATGATTTGCTGAAGGATAGCCCATCGTAATAGGGTGGAGGGGTTGGCGGCACGACTGCTATATGACTAGAAGATGAAACACACACAGAGAATGCAATTTACAGTTATATGACACTGTATAATACTTCATTGTTTTAACCTGCCCCTATCCATACATTGTACTGTTTTGCCCACCAATTCCTAATGAAATTACATGTTTTTATCATTGATCATGTACACTGAGTGCACAAAACATTAAGAACACCTGCTCTTTCCATGACATAGACTGACCAGGTGAAAGCTATGATCCCTTGATGCCACTTGTTAAATACACTTCAATCAGTATAGGTGAAGGGGAGGAAACAGGTTTTAAGCCTTGAGACAATTGAGACGTGTATGTGTGCCATTCAGAGGGTGAATGGGCAAGACAAAAGATTGAAGTGCCTTTGAACGGGATATGGTAGTAGGAGCCAGGCGCACCGGTTTGTGTCAAGAACGGCAACGCTGCTGGGTTTTTCACACTCAACAGTTTCCCGTGTGTATCAATAATGGTCCACCACCCAAAGGACATCCAGCCAACTTGGGGAAGCAATGTTGTCAACATGGGCCAGCATCTCTGTGGAACGCTTTCGACACCTTGTAGAGTCCATGCCCTGACGAATTTAGGCTGTTCTGAGGGCAAAAGGGGAGGGTGTTCCTAATGTTTGGTATACTCAGTATACATGCCTGCATCTATCTGTGTCTATATCTCTTCCAGACACTATGGTCACATAATACAGCAGCATAGAATAAATGTGAATGAGAATAAATGAAGACCGCTCATCGACTTACCTCAACCTCTGGTAGGACTTCAGTAGTTTCTCCCCAATAGTCTCATGCATTTCTGTAAAGTAGAAGAATATTGCTATAGCTTCCAATACTAGTCCACACAGGGCCGTTTCTATCATTTTGGTTGCCCTAAGCAACATTTGAAGCTTGTCCTGCAATTCTACACGTTTTGCCATGGGGCGTAGAGAAACTGTTGCAGTTTTAGATAACATTTTCTGCTATTCTACATATTTTGCCATGGGGCAGAGAGAACATTTAGCAGTTTTAAAACAAATGTCATGTTGCCGCGGGGCCCTAAGCAGCCACTTACAGGGCCTTCAGAAAGTATTCACACCCATTGAATCTTTCCACATTTTGTTGTGTTACAAAGTGGGATTACAATTGTTTTGTCATTTATTGTCAATTGTTTTAACAACAAAAGAATGTATGAAAATAAAACACTAATATATTGATTACATAAGTATTCAACCCCCTGAGCCAGTACGTGTTAGAATCAGCTTTGGCAGCGATTACAGCTGTGAGTCTTTCTGGATTGTGCAACATTTGCCCATTATTCTTTACAAAATTCTTCAAACTGTCAAATTGGTTGTTGATCATTGCTAGATAATCATTTTCAAGTCTTGTCATAGATTTTCAAGCAGATTTAAGTCAAAACTGTAACTTGGCCACTCAATAACATTCACTGTCAACTTGGTAAGCAACTCCAGTGTAGATTTGGCCTTGTGTTTTAAGTTATTGTCCTGCTGAAAGGTGAATTAATCGCCCAGCGTCTGGTGGAAAGCTGACTGAACCTGGTTTTCCTCTAGGATTTTACCTGTGCTTAGCTCCATGCCATTAATTTTTTATCCTGAAAAACTCCCCAATCCTTAACGATTACAAGCATACCCATAACATGATGCAGCCACAACCATGATTTGATTTATTGGATCCCCATTAGCCGACGTCAATGGTGACAGCTAGTCTTACTGGGGTCCGACACATAACAAAAAATACATTACAGGCAAAATACTTTACAATTTACATGTAAAAACATTAATGTGTAGTGTGTGTGTGTGTGTGCATCTATCAGTTACACATACATGTCAGTACATACACACACGAAGTAGGTCACATGGGGCAGAGGCGTTGTGCCGTGAGGTGTTGCTTTATTCGTTTTTTAAACCAGGTTTGCTGTTCACTTGCACTATATAAGATGGAAGGGAGTTCCATGCACTCATGGCTCTGTATAATATTGTACGTTTCCTTGAATTTGTTCTGGACCTGGGGACTGTGAAAAGACCCCTGGTGGCATGTCTTGTGGGGTAAGTGTGTGTGGCAGTGCTGTGTGTAAACTGACTATGCAAACAATTTGGAATTTCCAACACATTAATGTTTCTTATAAAAAAGAGAAGTGATGCAGTCAGTCTTTCCTCAACTCTCAGCCAAGAAAGACTGGCATGCATAGTATTAATATTAGCTCTCTGTTTACAATGAAGAGCAAGAAGTGCCGCTCTGTTCTGGGTCAGCTGCAGCTTAACTAGGTCTTTCCTTGCAGCACTCGACCACACGACTTGACAATAATCAAGATAAGACAAAACTAGAGCCTGCAGGACTTGATTTTGGAGTGTGGTGTCAAAAAATCAGAGCATATTTTTATTAAGGACAGACCTCTCCCAATCTTTACAACCATTGAATCTATATGTTTTGACCATGACAGTTTACAATCTAAGGTAAAACCAAGTAATTTAGTCTCCTCAACTTGTTCAACTGCCACACCATTCATTAACAGATTCAGATGAGGTCTAGAACTTAGGGAATGGTTTGTACCTATTTCAACGCTCTTAGTTTTAGAGATGTTCAGGACCAGTTTATTACTGCCGACCCATTTCAAAAGGGTTTCAGTGACTTCATTAGCTGTGGTTGCTGATGCGTATATGGTTGAATCATCAGCATACATGGACTCACATGCTTTGTTTAATGCCAGTGGTAGGTCATTGGTAAAAATAGAAAAGAGCAGGGGGCCTAGAGAGCTGCCCTGCGGTACACCACACTTTACATGTTTGACATTAGAGAAGCTTCCATTAAAGAAAACCCTCTGAGTTATATTAGATAGATAGCTCTGAATCCACGATATGGCAGAGGTTGAAAAGCCATAACACATATGTTTTCTCAACAACAGGTTATGGTCAATAATATCAAAGGCTGCACTGAAATATAACAGTTCAGCTACAACAAACTTCGTATCAATTTCTTTCAACCAATCATCAGTCATTTGTGTCATTGCAAAACATGTTGTGTGCCCTTCTCCATAAGCATGCTGAAAGTCTGTTGGTAATTTGTTTACAGAGAAATAGCATTGTATTTTGTCAAACACAATTTTTTCCAACAGTTTGCTACGAGCTGGCAGCAAGCTGATAGATCTGCTGTTAGAACCAGTAAAGGCCGCCAGCGGAATGACTTTAGCTTCCCTCCAGGCCTGAGGACAAAGACTTTCCTCTAGGCTCAGATTAAAGATTTGATAGACAGGAGTGGCTACAGAGTCAGCTACCATCCTCAGGAGCTTTCCATCTGAGTTGTCAATGCCTCTCCCACACTAACTTTACAAAACTCTAAATTACAATGCTTTTCTTTCATTATTCGTTTTTTTATGCATGAGTATGATTAGTTGTGGGCATTTCCTGCTGAAGTTTGCCCACTTTGCCCATGAAGTAATCATTAAAATAATTGGCAACATCAAATGGTTTTGTGATGAACACGCCACCAACGTTTTTATCATTGATCTTGGCTTCATAATACAGTTTCTTCTACTTTTTGTTGAGTTTAGTCACAACATTTCTCAATTTGCAGTAAGTCAGCCAGTCAGATATGCAGCCAGACTTATTAGCCACTCATTTTGCCCCATCTCTTTCAACCATACAGTTTTTCAATTACTCATCAATCCATGGAGCCTTAACAGTTCTAACCGTGAGTTTCTTAACAGGTGCATGTTTATCAATAATTGTAAGAAGCAATTTCATAAAGTGCAGCTTCTGGATGCTCCTTAATAATCACATCAGACCAACACATATTTTTTAAATCATCCATAATAAAAGTCACAGCAAAATCTTTTGTATGATCTCTAACACACTATTTTAGGCTCAGCTTTTGGAACGTTGGCTTTCCTGGATATAGCCACCATATTGTGATCACGGCATCCAATGGGTATGGTTACAGCTTTAGAACAGAGTTCTACAGTATTAGTAAAAATGTGATCAATACATGTGGATGATCTTGTTCTTGTAGTGTTTGTAAATACCCTGATAGGTTGATTAATAACTTGAACCAGATTACAGCCACTGGTTACAGTGAGAAGCTTCCTCTTGAGCGGACAGCTTGATGAAAACCAGTCAATATTCAAGTCCCCAAGAAAGTAGACCTCTGTTTATATACGGCAACACTTCCCCCATAAGCATTCCTGTCTCTTCTACAGATGTTATCTCCTTGTATTGCTACTGCTGTATCATCAAATGAATTATCTAAGTGAGTCTCAGAAATGGCTAATATGTTAATGTTATCTGATGTTAGCAAATGATTGATTTCATGAACCTCCATCTCAATCTCCGGTGGTCCATCTTCAGTTTCTCCGAGATCATTTCCCTCACTTTGTCCTCAGACTCTGTCCAGGTCTCATGTGGAGATTCTGCAATTCTGTCCACAACAATGTCGTTCCGACTTGATTGTCCCTCGAGATAATCGTAGGTTACGCTGTTACTTCTCACAGTTCCAGACAGGGCAGGTCACAGAGAAGATTAGAAACAACAACAACAAACAGCAGTGATCTAGACAGCCACAAGCCCGAGACCATCCGCGGTCCCAGCCACAATGGCTAACCGCGTCGCGGGGTGCGTTCAAGCCCTCAAGAAAACCACACTAACTTGATAAGCAGCTAGCTAGCAGCCAGGCTAGCTGCTACGCCAAGCAGCTCCTCAGATCCGGCCTTAGTCGGCAGGATCACTCGAGAGATAGTAGCAGTCCCAGCAACTGATGCCAACCGCTTCGTGGGATCCAAACTCAAAATGTAGCTAGCTAGTAACTAATCTTTTTCAATAGACTTTCAAAACAACAAACCAAGCTCTTACAAGTTACGCGTTCAACAGGAAGTTACGCGAGTGGGTGTGTCCCGCTCCATCCAAGTGATGCGAGTGGGTGTGTCCTGCTCCACCATGCTTGAAAATATGGAGAGTGCTACTCAGTTGTGTTGTATTGGATTTGCCCCAAACATAATTATTTGTGTTCAGGACAAAAAGTGTATTGCTTTGCCACATTTTCTGCATGTATTACTTTAGTGCCTTGTTGCAAACAGGATGCATGTTTTGGATTTTTTTTCTTCTGTACAGGTTTCCTTCTTTTCACTCTGTCAATTAGGTTAGTAATGCGGACTAACTACAATGTTTTTGATCCATCCTCAATTTCCTCCCATCACAGTCATTAAACTCTGTAACTGTTTTAAAGTCACTCATGCTGAAATCCCTGAGCGGTTTCCGTTGCAGTGACTGGGTGTATTGATACACCATCCAAAGTGTAATTAATAACTTCATCATGTTCAAAGGGATATACTATGTCTGCTTTTCTGTTTTTACCCATCTACCAATAGATGCCCTTCTTTGCGAGGCATTGGAAAAACTCCCTGGTCTTTGTGGTTGAATCTTAGCCTGAAATTCTCTGCTCGACTAAGGGACCTTACAGATAATTGTACTTGTAGGGTACAGAGATGAGGTAGTCATTCAAAAATAAGTTTAAACACTATTGTTGCACACAGAGTGAGTCCATGCAACTTACACTGCTCAAAAAAATTAAGGCAACACTAAAATAACACATCCTAGATCTGAATGAATGAAATAATCTTATTAAATACTTTTTTCTTTACATAGTTGAATGTGCTGACAACAAAATCACACAAAAATTATCAATGGAAATCAAATTTATCAACCCATGGAGGTCTGGATTTGGAGTCACCCTCAAAATTAAAGTGGAAAACCACACTACAGGCTGATTCAACTTTGATGTAATGTCCTTAAAACAAGTCAAAATGAGGCTCAGTAGTGTGTGTGGCCTCCACGTGACTGTATGACCTGGGCATGCTCCTGATGAGGTGGCGGATGGTCTCCTGAGAGATCTCCTCCCAGACCTGGACTAAAGCATCCGCCAACTCCTGGACAGTCTGTGGTCCAACGTGGCGTTGGTGGATGGAGCGAGACATGATGTCCCAGATGTGCTCAATTGGATTCAGGTCTGGGGAACGGGCGGGCCAGTCCATAGCATCAATGCCTTCCTCTTGCAGGAACTGCTGACACACTCCAGCCACATGAGGTCTAGCATTGTCTTGCATTAGGAGGAACCCAGGGCCAACCGCACCAGCATATGGTCTCACAAGGGGTCTGAGGATCTCATCTCGGTACCTAATGGCAGTCAGGCTACATCTGGCGAGCACATGGAGGGCTGTGCGGCCCCCTAAAGAAATGCCACCCCACACCATGACTGACCCACCGCCAAACCGGTCATGCTGGAGGATGTTGCAGGCAGCAGAACGTTCTCCACGGCGTCTCCAGACTCTGTCACGTCTGTCACATGTGCTCAGTGTGAACCTGCTTTCATCTGTGAAGAGCACAGGGCGCCAGTGGCGAATTTGCCAATCTTGGTGTTCTCTGGCAAATGCCAAACGTCCTGCACGGTGTTGGGCTGTAAGCACAACCCCCACCTGTGGACGTCGGGCCCTCATACCACCCTAATGGAGTCTGTTTCTGACCGTTTGAGCAGACACATGCACATTTGTGGCCTGCTGGAGGTCATTTTGCAGGGCTCTGGCAGTGCTCCTCCTTGCACAAAGGCGGAGGTAGCAGTCCTGCTGCTGGGTTGTTGCCCTCCTACGGCCTCCTCCACGTCTCCTGATGTACTGGCCTGTCTCCTGGTAGCGCCTCCATGCTCTGGACACTACGCTGACAGACACAGCAAACCTTCTTGCCACAGATCGCATTGATGTGCCATCCTGGATGAGCTGCACTACCTGAGCCACTTGTGTGGGTTGTAGACTCCGTCTCATGCTACCACTAGAGTGAAAGCACCGCCAGCATTCAAAAGTGACCAAAACATCAGCCAGGAAGCATAGGAACAGAGAAGTGGTCTGTGGTCACCACCTGCAAAACCAGTCCTTTATTGGGGGTGTCTTGCTAATTGCCTATAATTTCCACCTGTTGTCTATTCCATTTGCACAACAGCATGTGAAATGTATGGTCAATCAGTGTTGCTTCCTAAGTGGACAGTTTGATTTCACAGAAGTGTGTTTGACTTGGAGTTACATTGTGTTGTTTAACTGTTCCCTTAATTTTTTTGAGCAGTGTATTATGTGACTTAAGCAATTGTTTACTTTTATTTAGGCTTGCCATAACAAAGGGGTTGAATACTTATTGACTTAAGACAGCTCAGCTTTTTATTTTTCATTCATTAGTAAAAATCCTGAAAACCATAATTCCACTTTGATATTATGGGGAAGGCCAGTCACAAAAAATCTCAATTTAATAAATAAAAAATTCAGGCTGTAACACAACAAAATGTGGAACATTTCTGAGGGTGTGAATACTTTTTGAAGGCACTGTATGTTTTTTATGCCTAGAAACGGCACTGAGTACACACACAATTGTATATTGCTGTTATGGACTTTCTCCCATTCTCCCGGGCAATGTTGTAGCAAACAGCAACAATGCATTATTTAGTCAAAGTCAGCTGATGTAGAAGATCACTAAGCAAACAACTGAAAATACATCTTCCCCTATGTATAGCTGTATTTTGGACTACAGGAAAAGGAGGACCAAGCATGCCCCCATTCTCATCGACGGGGCTGTAGTGGAGCAGGTTGAGAGCTTCAAGTTCCTTGGTGTCCACATCACCAACAAACTATCATGGTCCAAACACACCAAGACAGTCATGAACAGGGCACGACAAAGCCAATTCATCCTCAGGAGACTGAAAAGATTTGGCATGGGACCTCAGATCCTCAAAAAGTTATACAGCTGCACCATCGAGAGCATTATTGAGGTAATCTGAAGAGATTTCACCCCATGCTTCCTGAAGCACCTCCCACGGTCAAGCTGCTCCCACAACAGCTCAATAGGGTTGAGATCCGGTGACAGTGCTGGCCACTCCATAATAGACAGAATACCAGCTAACTGCTTCTTCCCTAAATAGTCCTTGCATAGTTTGGAACTGTGCTTTGAGTCATTGTCCTGTTGTAGGAGGAAATTGGCTCCAATCAAGCGCCGTCCACAGGGTATGGCATGGCGTTGCAAAATGGAATGATAGCCTTCCTTCTTCATGATCCCTTTTACCCTGTACAAATCTCTCACTTTACCACCACCAAATCACCGCCAGACCATCACACTGCCTCCACCATGCTTGACAGATGGCATCAAGCACTCCTCCAGCATCTTTTCATTTAGTCTGCGTCTCACAAATTTTCTTCTTTGTGATCCGAACACCTCAAACTTTGATTCGTCTGTCCATAACACGTCTGTCCAGTGTCTGTGTTCTTTTGCCCATCTTAATCTTTTCTTTTAATTGGCCAGTCTAAGATATGGCTTTTTCTTTGCAACTCTGCCTAGAAGGTCAGCATCCCGGAGTCGCTTCTTCACTGTTGACGTTGAGACTGATGTTTTGCGGGTACTATTTAATGAAGCTGCCAGTTGAGGACCTGTGAGGTGTCTGTTTCTCAAACTAGACACTCTAATGTATTTGTCCTCTTGCTCAGTTGTGCACCGGGGCCTCCCACTCCTCTTTCTATTCTGGTTAGAGCCAGTTTGCGCTGTTCTGTGAATGGAGTAGTACACAGCGTTGTACGAGATCTTCAGTTTCTTGGCAATGTCTTGCATGGAATTGTCTTCATTTCTCAGAACAAGAATAGACTGACAAGTTTCAGAAGAAAGTTTTTTGTTTCTGGCCATTTTGATTCTGTAATCGAACCCACAATTGCTGATGCTCCAGATACTCTACTAGTCTCAAGAAGGCCAGTTTTATTGCTTCTTTAATCAGCACAACAGTTTTCAGCTGTGCTAACATAATTGCAAAAGGGGTTTCTAATGATCAATTAGCCTTTTAAAATGATAAACTTGGATTAGCAAACACAACGTGCCATTGGAACACAGGACTGATGACTGAAATGGTTGCTGATAATGGGCCTCTGTACGCCTATGTAGATATTCCATAAAAAATCAGCTGTTTCCAGCTACAATAGCCATTTACAACATTAACAATGTCTACACTGTATTTCTGATCAATTTGATGTTATTTTAATGGACAAAGAAATTGCTTTTCTTTCGAAAACAAGAACATTTCTAAGTGATCCCAAACTTTTGAACGGTAGTGTACATATTACCTCAATTACCTCGAATAACCCGTGCCCCAGCACATTGACTCTGTACCTGTACCCCCTGTACATAGCCTCACGGCTGTTATTTTACTGCTGCTCTTTAATTATTATAATTTTTTTATTTTATTTCTTTTTTACTTATTTATTTTTTACTTAATACATATTTTTCTTAAAACTGCATTGTTGGTTAAGGGCTTGTAAGTAAGCATTTCACTGTAAGGTCCACACCTATAGTATGCGGCACATGTGACAAACACAATTTTATTTTATTTTTTTGTTGATATATAAGGCATGAATTATGTGAATTATGCATATTAATTATGAGTGAATGGGGCATGTGAGGAGTATAGGAAACAAACCTGCATCAGGTGGAAATTTCTTGGCCCTCTCTTCCACAAACCACTCCCCAGACCTGAACTTTACCTCCCTGAGAAGTGAATTTTAGATTAATTAACCTTTGTTTAGACTACAAAGGAAATACTGTACCTTTTGTCAGTTCATTTTCTCAACAAGTTAACACGCCTTAATCATTGAATAAGGATTAGAGAATAACAACTATAAAAATATTACAGTCAATATTACAGTCAACCATGGTTATAGTGCTGAAAGTCTATGTTACGGCGCTGACATGACATCTATGTTATGGCACTGACATGCCTCCTACCTGTAGGCGTGGCAGACAGTGCACTTCCAGTCCAGCGTGGACACGCCCACGCGGCACTTGTTGCAGATGCGGTGACTGCAGCCTTGGCACACAGCGCCCGAGTTCCAGAACTTGCCCAGTGGCCTCTGACAACGGGCACACGTCCTCTCGCTGTATTGCCGGGCAAAACTCTTCGCACCTTTCCTCCGGATGTCCTGTAGCTCCATCTTCAGCCTCCTGTAAAAGCAGATGGTGGCAGATGGAGGAGGTACAGTAGCGATGGCAATGCTTTAACAACTGTACTTACAGTCCTCTTCACATCTGCATTTTCTGTACATTTTTGAAGTAGCTTTGTTGCATTCATTCAGATTGACTGCCTCATATAATTTCTGATCAACCGTAAAACAACAACTATGAATTATATTTTGAGGAACATCATCATTGTTGTCACAGACTCCACAGATCCTGAAAATCCCTCAAAGGGGAGTTGTTGTACAGTGTTCATGCAGTAAATGTGAAAAGCTTGGCTTAAGTAAAGTGAATAATATTGTTTACCTGATCCTGTCCTCCTCCATGTTGCGCAGAAGTTTGTCCCTCTGAAGAACCTCTAGAACCTTCTCTCGTTCCAGAGCCTTGAGCAGACTCAGATCCATCTTGAAAAATGGGAGTCTCTTTCTCTCTCTCACTTCCACTCTGTACTCTTCTTCTTCTTCTTCTTCTTCCCAACTCTACCTCTCTAGTCTCTCCTTTTATCTCTCCTCCCTTTGTTCCACCTTCTGTTTCTTTATATTGGGTACCGGATGCTTCTACAAGCTGGACGAAGTCTTCACTTGTTACCAGACTGAGGGCAGAATGAAGGTCATGTTCATTTCACTGCACAGTTAAAGACATCCCATCTTCCCGTCACGATATTCACAGAAGCTCTCTCCGCTTCGCATCACAGACCTCAATATGGATTGGTCCTCGATGTTTCTGCTCCGGTGACCCGCCCCACCTCTTACGCTCTGCTCTCTAGCCACTCCATAATGTTGCATCCATCCAAAGAGTGACAGCCAGGGAGCGCAAACTTTGACCTATAGTCGCAGGGATCCTCTTCTCAAAGTCTGATGACTGATGTACACTTTGTTCACTAGGACAAGAAAAGAGCAACCAGTCAGCCAGTCATTGTAGCTCTCACAGTAACGGCCCACTCTCTAAGGCAGAACAGTGAAAGACCAACAGAATTACAATGCTATATAATATACTTTAGATGCTGTGCATAGAATGTGATACAGTATCAGAAACATTTGATAACCCATTGAACGTATCTCGCCCTTCCTCCCAACTCCTGTACTGCACACTTGCCCCTTAGCATTCATTCCCTACGACGTCAATGTCACAGTGCTTTGCTCAGAATAGTAAATCACATTTGGTCCGGCCACAGGCCCCACAACGCTCCTCTCACAGCAAGCAGCCTACCGCTGTTACAGTACTGTAGCAATGCTTCATTGAAGGCAGCACAAAGCAGGACCACACACGCACACACACACACGTCAACCAAATGCCAACCGCTGCATTATTAACGACCGATGCGTCCATTTTTCTTTTTTTCCTGCTTTCTCGGAGCGATTGTATTTTTGTTTGGAAGTGGGGATGTGAAGTATGGAGAGAAAGGGGGAAAGAGCCTTATCAGTGACTGGATGACACCCTGTGTTGGTAGATAAAGGTATCTGCCTTTATCCAGGGCAGCAGAGGGCCACTGTAAACAATCAGTGTCAAATGTGATTAGGGCCCCATGGGGAAGCAGCAGTATCTTTATGTCCCAAATGGCACCCTATTCCCTACATAGTTCACTACTTTTGACCAGAGCCATATGGGCCCTGGTCAAAAGAAGTGCACTACATAGGGAATAGAGTGCCATTTGGGAAGCTTTATCCTTATGTCTCAGAGAGGGAGTGGACAGGAGACACTGACTAGTTATCAGCGCTATATGCTTTTAAAGGGAGGCTGCGCTTTGTCCAGAAGTGGTCAAATAGGCCTTTAAAGAATGTAGCAGAGAGCGTGTAACAAACAAGAAAAAGCTTTGTTTTCTTCTATGAAATCATGTTGAATGATTTAGCATTATTTAAATGTTTCAAGAGTAATGGTATAATAATATAGTTATACTCCAGTTGTTACTATGCAAACATATCTCCCACATTGTTTCTATGGGGTGCAGGGGGTTGAAGATGGGTTTGTAACATTTTTATGAGGCATTTTCAAGAGCTGTTGTTCAAATGCTGTCTTTACTCAACGGTTCCCAAACTAGGGCTCGCCTGAAAATGGGGTAGCGGGAGAATGTAAAAAATTATAATAATAATATATAATAATATAATAATAATAATAATAAATTAATACAAATAATACAGTGCACTCGGAAAGTATTCAGACCCCTTGACTTTTTCCACATTTTGTTACATTACAGCCTTATTCTACAATTGATTAAATTCTTTTTTAATCTTCAACATAGGAATGCTACCAAAAAGAACTTAATGAAACTGGTTACAATTGACGGAGTCACCCATAATTCACCTAATGATATTTTGAAGGAAGAAACAAAGTATTTTAAGCATATGTTTTCTTTTCATTCGCCTCCATCTCCTCTAACTGAAGCTAATTGTAGATATTTTTTTCCTATTGATAATGTCAAATTAACAGCCACACAGAAAGACTCATGTGAAGGTGAAATTACAGAGGAGGAACTTCTGGATGCAATTAAAGACTTTAAGTCCGGGAAAACTCCAGGGTTGGATGGCATACCAATCGAGGTATACCAAACCTTTTTTGATATACTAAGAGGACCGTTATTAGCATGTTTTAAACACTCCTATGTAAATGGTAGATTATCTGACACTCAAGAAGAAGGTCTGATCTCATTATTACTGAAACAGGATACAAGTGGAAAATATAAAGATCCAGTCCATTTACAAAATTGGAGGCCCCTTACACTTCAGTGTTGTGATGCAAAAATCCTAGCAAAATGTATAGCGCATAGAATTAAAAAGGTATCGTCGGATATTATTCATTCTAATCAGACAGGTTTTTTACATGGAAGATACATTGGAGATAATATAAGGCAAGTATTGGAAACAATAGAACACTATGGAAAATATGGGAAACCAGGCCTGCTATTCATAGCAGACTTCGAAAAGGCATTTGATAAAGTTCGACTGGAATTTATATATAAATGCCTGGAGCATTTCAATTTTGGAGAATCTCTTATAAAATGGGTCAAAATCATGTATAGTAACCCTAGGTGTAAAATAGTAAATAATGGCTATTTCTCAGAAAGTTTCAAACTGTCAAGAGGAGTGAAACAAGGTTGTCCACTATCGGCATATCTATTTATTGTGGCCATCGAGATGTTAGCTATTAAAATCAGATCCAATAATAATATCAGAGGATTAGAAATACAGGGCTTAAAAACAAAGGTGTCATTGTACGCAGATGATTCATGTTTTCTTTTAGATCCACAACTAGAATCCCTCCACAGCCTCATAGAGGATCTAGATACATTTTCTAACCTCTCTGGATTAAAACCAAATTATGACAAATGTACTATATTACGTATTGGATCACTAAAAAATACAATTTTTACATTACCATGTAGTTTACCAATAAAATGGTCTGATGGTGATGTGGATATACTCGGAATACATATCCCAAAGGAAATAAATGATCTCACTTCAATACATTTTAATAGAAAGTTAGCAAAAATAGATAAGATCTTACTACCATGGAAAGGAAAATACCTGTCAATTTGTGGAAAAATCACCCTGATTAACTCTTTAGTATTATCCCAGTTTACCTATTTGCTTATGGTCTTGCCTACGCCTAGCAAACAGTTTTTTAAATTATATGAGAAAAAAATATTCAATTTTATTTGGAACGGCAAGCCAGACAAAATTAAAAGAGCATATTTATATAATGAATATGAATTCGGAGGACAGAAATTATTAAATATTAAAGCATTAGACCTATCACTAAAATCTTCAGTCATCCAAAAGTTATACTTAAATCCGAACTGGTTCTCAAGCAAATTAGTAAGATTGTCTCACCCACTGTTCAAGAAAGGCCTTTTTCCCTTTATTCAGATTACAACCTCTCACTTTCAGTTATTTGAAAAGGAAATAATCTCCCAAATGTCACTATTTCTAAAACAAGCCATAGAAAGTTGGTTGCAATTTCAATTTAATCCTCCAGAAACGACAGAACAAATAATGCAACAAATATTGTGGTTAAATTCAAATATACTAATTGACAAAAAACCTTTATTTTTTGACAGAATGTTTAAAAAAGGTATAATCTTCGTAAATGATATCATCGGTAGGACTGGTGGAGTTATGTCGCACATGCAGCTAACAAAAACATATGGAAATGTCTGCTCTACCCAAAATTACAACCAAATAATTGCAGCCTTACCGCAAAAGTGGAAGAGGAAAGTTGAAGGGGGAGAAAGTAAGGAACTTGTCTGTCGGCCTTGCATTAAAGAACATAATTGGTTAAGGAAAACTGTGATAAATAAAAAAGTATATCAGTTTCACTTAAGGACCAAAGGATTGACAGCAGTCCCATATAGATTGCAAAATAGTTGGGAAGAGATCTTTGACGTACCGATCCCATGGCATAGTGTTTATGAACTGACACGCAAAACGACACCGGATTCAAAAATTCGAATCTTTCAATTTAAATTATTACATAAAATTCTTGCTACCAATAGAATGTTATTTATATGGGGGATACAATCTTCCCAGCTCTGCAGATTTTGCTGTGAAGAGATAGAATCATTGGATCATTTGTTTTGGTTCTGTCCATTTGTAGCTTGTTTCTGGACACAGGTCCAGGAATGGCTAAAGGATTGCAATATTTACCTGGAACTAACCTTGCAGATAGCATTACTGGGTGATCTGAAAAGTCATAGTCAATCAATCAATAATATAATAATACTTTTAGCAAAAATGTTTATTTTTAATTCACAATCTGTAGAAGCAATGAGAATAGAAAGGTTCAGAACTTTTGTAAAACATCACAGTATGGTTGAAATATATATGGCAAATAGAAATCCTATATGGATGGTGTTAAGAGATAGATGGGAGGTATTGAATAGAGTTGAAGGATGGGACTAATAACAAATAACAACAAATAATAACAAAGATAGCTAATAATGTAAGCATACTGTGTCCATAATAAGTATATAGGTTGTATGTTGGGAGCTTTTGGGAAAGAGCACAGTTAGAAAGATATGGCATTTAGAAGCAAACCGGATGGACATCATGAAAATGATCGGAGAGGTTGAGAGTAGAAGAAGTTCAGGAGCAAAAAAATAAATAAATATATATATATATATATATATAGATATAGATATAGAATTATTGTAAAATTAACTCTGTCCATAAGGTGTAGATAGTAAGTATAGACCGGAAGTAGAGGCCTGGGCGTTGTTGTTCACTAATTTACTCCAAGTAGGGAAAGGATGGTGGGGTTGAAAAGTAATAAAGGGGAATATATATATAAAAAATAAAAAAAACATGGGGGATTGGAAGTGATGCAGACAATTACATTGATAGAAGATACAATCTATCTGCAATATTAAGCTGATCCATCCCCCCAAAAAAATAAATAAAAAAATAAAATA